CTTTTTTTAATGTCGTGCCAGGAGCATCTTGAGAAACTGCAAGTCGCTTCTGGCGTGAGAGAACTGGCCGTCTGCAAGGACGTTGCCCAGGGGACATTGCCCGGATGATTTGATGTTTGTATCATCCTTGTGGGAGGGAGGCTTCTCTCACGTCCCCTTTGCATGAGGAGCTGGAGCTGACAGAGGGAGCTCACCCGCGCTCGCCCAGGATTCGAACCTGCGACCTGTCGGTCTCCAGTCCAGCTGGCACAAGGGGGGTTGAACCCACTGCGCCACCCACCGGGGGCTCCCGATCAGAGTACTAATATTATGATAAATAACATAAAATAATATTACGATAATAATGACATAACAATAATGACATAAAATAATAAATAATATAGTTAAATATAGTAATATATAAACAGTTTTATTTATTTATTATTCGAACTTCTATGCCGCCTCTCCCCTGGGGCTCGGAGCGGCTTACAAGAACAGGCTAAAATCTAACACAGCAATTTAAAAGCAATTTAAAAACAGCAATATCAAAAGTCAAAGGCCTGTCAAAACAGGTATCGGTCTTCCATGTCCTGCGGAAAGCTGACAAGTCCCGCAAGGCACGGACTTCAGGTGGCAGAGTGTTCCAGAGGGATGGTGCCACTGCCGTGAAGGCTCTGCGCCTGGTTGCTGGCCCCAGACCATGCAAGGCCTTCCAGGAGAGTCCCATCCCTTTGAAAGGGATGCTCAATGGGTAACCAGTGCAGCTGCAGGAAGATTGGTGTAATGTGGCATGTCATTGGAACTCTCGCAAGAAGCCGAGCGGCTGCATTTTGTACCAACTTGAGCTTCTGGATCACCGACAGAGGGAGGCCAATGTAGAGGGCGTTACAGTAGTCCAGTCCTGAGATGACCGTGGCCTGGATCACCGTAGCCAGGTCGTCCCTGGACAGGGAGGGAGCCAGCCGTCTAGCCTGCCGCAGGGGAAAGAAAGAAGGCGGTTCTGCTCACGGCGGAGAGAGAGAGACCTGGGCCTCCATCCTCAGCAGAAAGAGGGTCCAAAAGGACTCCCAGGCTCTTGACCAATGATGACGGGCGTAGCGCCTCGCCATCCAGGGTAGGCAGCTGGACGTCCTCACTGCCCGGTTGACCCAGCCATAGGATCTCCGTCTTTGCTGGATTCACCCTCAACCTGCTGGCATCCAGTCACGGCCTCAATGAGGCACTGATGGAAACATTTGGGTACAGAGTCCGGTCGGCCTTCCATCTTCAGCACCAGCTGAGTGTCATCGGCATACTGGTCACACTCCAGCCCAAAACCTCGAACCAGCTGAGCAAGTGGTCGCATAGAGATGTTAAACAAGAGAGGGGAGAGAATGGCCCCCTGAGGAGGAACCCCACAAGAGAGAGAGAGGGGACAGTCATAAGTAAAGTAATATAATAAATAGCAATAATGACATAAAATAACGATAAAATAAAATATAATAGAAATAATACATCACATGAAATTATAAAAAATGATAAATAACAAAATAATACAATATAACATAATATATTTAAAATAATACACAGGCATAATAATAGAATATAATACTATAAAACTAATATAAGAATAACATTAATATAATTAAACAATTTGTTAATAGATAAATATATATTGATAATAATGAATAATAATAATAATAAATAGTTCAACTGCATCCAGAGAAACTGAATCCCACCAACAATGGATTGGGACCAAACTTGGCACAGAGAAGCCCCACGACCAAGTGAACATACTGCTGGGTTTTTTGAGAATTGGCCTCGATTTTGGGAGTTGTAGTTCACCCTTATGCAGAGAGCACTGAGCCCAGCCGATGACAGATCTGGACCAAACTTGGCACACAGACCCAGCATGGCCAACTGTAAGTACTGACAGGGTTTGGGGAGGGTTTCAATCACTTCAGCTCCAAAAGACCACTGCGACGACCCCCACCAATGACAGATCAGGACCAAACTTGGCACCCGTGACTCACTTTACGACTTGGTGCAGTTTGGAGGATTGACCATGGATGATGGGACTTGCAGTACCTTCACTCACTTCCTGAGACCACTCCAACTCCGACAAATGACAGACCTGGACCGAACTTTGCACACAAGCCTCCCATGACACACCTCATGTCCTGGTGAAGTTTGGGGAAGGCGGGACCATGGATGATAGGATTTGAAGTACCTTCACCCATTTTGGCTCCCACAGACTACAGCAACACCCCACGCATGATTGACCAGGACCAAGCTTGGCACACAGACTCCCCATGAGCTACTTCACGTCCTGGTGAAAAAGTCATTTTTTAAAAAATAAAATGCATAAGGTTGTGGGTGAACTACAACTTGCATCATGCCAGGTTAACCCTGAGAAACTCCATCATTGGTTAAAGTTTGTCATGTTGGGCAAGTGTGCTCTCTAGATGCATCATCGGTGGGATCCATGGGGTCTCTGGCTGCAGGATGAACTACAGCTCCCGCCATGGTGAGTCAGTTCCCCTCAAACCCCTCCAGTAAGTTCAGATGGTCATGGGGCTTCTGTGTGCCAAGTTTGATCCAGGTCCATTGTCGGTGGGCTTCACAATTTCTCTGGTTGTAGGTGAACTACAACTCCCGTAAATCAAGGTTTATCTCTCCCAAACTCATCCAGTATTCAAATGTGGGCATTTCGGGAACATGGGCCAAGTTTGGTCCAGATCCATTGCTCTTCTCACCCCGATGGAAACTCAGAGCGACATCCAGGTTTGCCACTTCAGTGTCACATTGCAATACAAAGTATATGAAATAAAACACATGAAACATCCACAAAAAACATGAATACATAAACCATATACCTAAAACCGTGGTCGTCCTTCATGTTGCTGCACGTCAATTCTGTGTTGCACTACGCAAACCCCTGATTACATAGTCAAGTTTTCACCTTTTTTCTAAAAGCCAGGAGGGAGGGGGCAGTATGATCTCACTGGAGAGGGAGTTCCACAGCTGAGGGGCCACCACTGAGAAGGAAGGCCCTGTCCCACGTCCTCACCAGTTGCACCTGTGAAGGGGGTGGGACAGAGAGCAGATGCAGGTCTAGATTGAAGCACATTACTGGGAACTAAGCGGGGTGGGCACTGGTATGGGCCTAGATGGGAACCCGTTATTGGGAACTAAGCAGGGTGGGCACGAGTTAGGGCTGAGGGGCCACCACTGAGAAGGCCCCACCAGTCATAGCTGCGAAGGCAGGGCTGTCACAAATGACTTTTCAATAACTTTGAAGCATAGGTTCTTTTTATTGCAATTTCCAGTGTGAGGGGGTATATCAGATTACAGAAAAACATTTAGACAAAGAATGACATTGGACATGTAGACATACAGATTCTGTGCAACTACATTGGATTTACAATTACATTGGTTAACAAACAAACAAAGGGGAATTACATTTTGACTCAACATTCATACACATGTACGCACATTCATCCTCAGGCATTCAAGTATTGCCAAATGGGGAGGGATAGCCAATACTCCAGAGGACAGGAGCAGGATTCAAAACTATCTTGACAGATTAGAGAGATGATGGGCCAAAACTAATAAAATGAAGTTCAACAGTGACAAATGCAAGATACTCCACTTTGGCAGGAAAAACGAAATGCAAAGATACAGAATGGGGGACGCCTGGCTCGAGAGCAGTACGTGTGAAAAAGATCTTGGAGTCCTCGTGGACAGGAAGGTAAACATGAGCCAACAATGTGATGTGGCGGCAAAAAAAGCCAATGGGATTTTGGCCTGCATCAATAGGAGCATAGTGTCTAGATCTAGGGAAGTAATGCTACCCGCTCTATTCTGCTTTGGTTAGACCACACCTGGAATATTGTGTCCAATTCTGGGCACCACAATTCAAGAGAGATATTGACAAGCTGGAATGTGTCCAGAGGAGGGCGACTAAAATGATAAAGGGTCTGGACAACAAGCCCTATGAGGAGAGGCTTAAGGAGCTGGGCATGTTTAGCCTTAAGAAGAGAACGATGAGAGGAGATATGATAGCCATGTGTGAGAGGAAGCCACAGGGAGGAGGGAGCAAGCTTGTTTTCTGCTTCCTTGGAGACTAGGACGCAGAACAATGGCTTCAAACTACAAGAGAGGAGATTCCATCTGAACATGAGGAAGAACTTCCTGACTGTGAGAGCCGTTCAGCAGTGGAACTCTCTGCCCCGGAGTGTGGTGGTGGCTCCTTCTTTGGAAGCTTTTAAACAGAGGCTGGATGGCCATCTGTCAGGGGTGCTTTGAATGCAATATTCCTGCTTCTTGGCAGAATGGGGTTGGACTGGATGGCCCATGAGGTCTCTTCCAACTCTTTGATTCTATGATTCTATTATATATTTTCTCCCTCCTTGGAGAAGCACCTGTTAGGCCAGACCCTGCTTTCCTGCAGCCTGCCAATGTATAGTTCCATAACTTCCATAACGCCAAAACTTCAAAACGCCGAAATGCCAAAACTTCTTTCCCTAAGAACAATACCGAGGACCAGATCTCTGTTTTCCACACAGCAGAACCTGACTCCCTGCACAAAATCCAAGACTCCAAAAGCGCACTTCTTCCTCTTCCCTTGAGAAGGAAGCCCCAAAGTGACCAGAATCATGCTTTCCCAGAGCATATCTGACACTCTCCTTACACTATCTCTCTCCTTCCCATGGAGCAGAGCATAGCGGGTGAACAGCGTCTCTGTCTGTCACACTTTGAGCATTATTAGACTGAGTCTTTCATAGGAATATTCTGTTGATGTCATCCCAAAATGAATGATAGACGTCTTCCATCCTGGATCCATCTCGGTTTCCTGGCCAGATTCTTGATTGATCTTATGTTGACTTCCTTCTTAACATAAGGAATGTTGCAAACATTTCTGTTATCACTGACCCAATTCTTATCAGAGTTTACTCTTCAGATCTCATTAGCAGGTCTCAATCGCAAAGCAGCAAGCAGGTAGTTAGTCATTGCAGGCCTCAATATTATAATGGTGTTTCCAAAATTATTAGCTCCATTCATACATCCTTCCATTCTTCCATTCATTCCCACACATAATATTAAATTCATATTTGTCAAATCTGCACATTGAATTTCTTGTGACAGGGCCTGCCCAGAAGATCTCAATATCTGAGGTGGATCACAGGGGGAGATCTGTTCGAACAAGTAAGCTGAGCCAGACTGGCAAACATGGCTTTTTTTTTACAACTGAAGACATGGCTTTTTAAACAAGCTTTTGACCATGCTAGGAATTCAAGGACTTATTTTGCAGCTGTTGTCGCATATTATTGATATTAATCGGGGGGGGGGGGGGGGGGGGGGGGAGTGTCATGTTTATGTTGGGTGTTGTTCTCTTTGCACTTTTTGTATATTGCATGTTTGCACCTTTAAATGTTTTGTGGGTCGCCTCGAGTCCCTCTGGGAAATGGTAGTGGAGTATAAATACTATTATTATTATTATTATTATTATTATTATTATTATTATTTATCTTGGATATTAGGAGGATGAAGGATACATGGAGAGGGTGGCCATCTTGGATATTGAAAGAATATAAGTTGGCCATCTTTGGTATTGGGAAAGGGCAGCCAACTTGGATATTGGGAGAGGAAATGTGGAGAGGGTGGCTATTTGAATATTGAGAGAGGAAGGGATAGATTAATAAGTCTAGTTTTCCTCTCATTTGTCTGGCAGGTAACCTCGGAACAAAGCTTATGAAGAAGACCCAGTGAGAGCTTTGCCCTAGGGATGCCTTAGAATTGAAATGAAGGGTCTCTGCTCTGGCAAGAAATAGGAATAAGAAGGAGAAAGACGTTTCAATACTTCCAATACTTGGAGGAAAAGGAAAATTGTGCTGTTAAAAATGGGTTTGGGAAAGAGAGCAGAAGGCTAGGGCAGTACGAAGACCGAGAAGAGGAAATCCTGTGCTGTCCAGGAGTTCATACCTGTGAACTTCTGGCATAATATTTGAATGATAAATAAAAAATAATGGAAAATCTTCATCCCTGCTCCACATCACATATATGGGAGAAGCTACACAACTGTATGGACTGTGGGAAATGTTTCATGTGGAGAAGTTCTCTTACTAAGCATCAACAAATTCACACAGGAGAGAAGCCACATCAATGCATGGAATGTGGAAAGAGTTTCGCTCAGAGTGGACAGCTACGTTCTCATCAAAAGACCCACACAGGGGAGAAGCCGTATCAATGCATGGAATGTGGAAAAAGCTTCAGATGGAGTGGATACCTGAATTCCCATCAAAGAACCCACACAGGGGAGAAGCCATATGAGTGCATGGAATGTGGAAAGAGCTTCAGTTGGAGTGGACATCTGCGTTCCCATCAAAGGACCCACACAGGGGAGAAGCCATTTCAATGCATGGAGTGTGGAAAGAGCTTCAGTTGGAGTGGACAGCTGCGTTCCCATCAAAGGACCCATACAGGGGAGAAGCCACATCAGTGCATGGAATGTGGAAAGAGCTTCAGTCAGAGTACAAATCTGCGTTCCCATCAAAGGACCCACACCGGGGAGAAGCCATATCAATGCATGGAATGTGGAAAGAGCTTCAGTCAGAGTGGAAAGCTGCATTCCCATCAAAGGACCCACACAGGAGAGAAGCCATATCAATGCATGGAATGTGGAAAGAGTTTCAGTTTGAGTGGACATCTCAGTTCCCACCACAGGACCCACACAGAAGAGAAGCCACATCAATGCATAGAATGCGGAAAGTGCTTCAGCCGTAGTGGAAATCTGCGTTCCCATCAAAGGACGCACACAGGGGAAAAGCCGTATCAATGCATGGAATGTGGGAAAAGCTTCAGTCACAGTGGACAGTTGCGTTCCCATCAGAGGACCCACACAGGGGAGAAGCCATATCAGTGTATGGAATGTGGAAAGAGCTTCATTCAGAGTGGAGAGCTCCGTTCCCACCAAAGGACCCACACAGAGGAGAAGCCATATAAATGCATGGAATGTGGAAAGAGCTTCAGTCGGAGTACACATCTGCGTTCCCATCAAAAAACCCACACAGGGGAGAAGCCATATCAATGCATGGAGTGTGGAAAAAGCTTCAGTCGGAGTGAAGAGCTTCGTTCCCATCGAAGGACCCACACAGGGGAGAAACCATATCAATGCATGGAATGTGGAAAGGACTTCAGTTGGAGTGGACAGCTCCGTTCCCATCAAAGGATTCACACAGGAGAGAAGCTGTATCAATGCATAGAATGTGGAAAGAGCTTCAGTCTGAGTGGACACCTGCGTTCCCATCAAAGGACTCACACAGGAGAGAAGCCGTATCAATGCATAGAATGTGGAAAGAGCTTCAGTTGGAGTGGACACCTGCGTTCCCATCAAAAGACCCACACAGGAGAGAAGCCACATCAGTGCATGGAATGTGGAAAGAGCTTCAGTCGGAGTGAAAATCTGCGTTCCCATCAAAGGACCCACACAGGGGAGAAACCATATCAATGCATGGAATGTGGAAAGAGCTTCAGTTGGAGTGGACAGCTACGTTCCCATCAAAGGACCCACACTGGGGAGACGCCACATCAATGCATGGAATATGGAAAGAGCTTCAGTCGGAATGACTGTCTGCATTCCCATGAAGGGACCCACACACGGCTGGAGGAAGAGGCCTCCCTTTGAGATGACTTGTTCTGCTATTTAGAAAATCCCCCAGACAAGAGTCCCATCCCTCCACAGGCAGGCAAAGAAGGGGAGAATGGAAGCAATGAGGAGGGTTGCCACGCTTTCTCTATCATGGACAGCGGTCTGTGTGGCCTGGCTTCATTGCTGTCGGGGGCAGGTCCCACGCAGAAGAGGACTCCTCTTAGTATCGCGGCTATGTTGAAGGGGTTAACCTGATCTTATCCTCAACGAAAGCACCACAGACTTCTGGGGTGATCTGTGAAAGCTTTTTGAAATGAGAGCAGCTGAGATCTTATAATGAAAGAGTTCTGGAAAAGACTAGGTCGTTGGGAGCAGATAATGGCATACCTTCGTACTGTTGTCCTGGATCTTGGCTCTGTATGTTCTCTTCATCATGGGAAGTCTGTGTATCAAGGGGGTCCATTATTCATGGGGGTTGCAGTCAGCTGTGGGAGGTGAATGGTGTGAAGGTACTGCATGTCCCATTTCCCGTGGCCCATCCTCCCCCAAACCACACCAGGATGTATAGTGGATCACGGGGGGTCTGTGTGTCAAATTTGATGCAGGTCCTTAATTCATGAGGGTTGGAGTGGTCTCTAGAACTGAGTGAAGGTACTGCAAATCCCATAATCCATGGCAAGTATGGTTCAGATCCGTTGATGGTTGTGTTCACAATGCTCTCTGGATGTAGGTGAACTCCTCTAAATCCTCTTGTTCACTTGCTGATCAATTCCTGTCCGCTGCGTGTCATAGGAATGGGTAAGAAAGGGTGAAGTGAGAGGCAGTAGATAGGCTCATGTAAATTTGGAGTGAGAAAGGAACCCTGGGATGTCTCTTCTGGAGGAAAAAAACAGAACATCTAGGATGAAATAGTCACCAAATGAAAGCGTTCCTTGGGTGTTTGGTGTTTGGGGAGGACATTGCCAGGGGTTGGTCTACATGTTCACGGCGCTCACTATAACCTGCAGTGTCAGTGGAGGGAGTGCCTTTGGAGGCCTCTCAGCACTTGGAACTATAGCCTGCTTGTGGAGGTGGGAGGCTGTCTGTGTAAGTGGGCTCCTCCGCCACATACGCACATATTTTTATTATGTGGATAGATAGATATCTGTGGAATGATGTCCAGGGTGGGAGAAAGAACTCTTGTCTGTTGGAGGCAAGTGTGAATGTTGCCATTGGCCACCTTGATTAGCATTGAATAGGCTTGCAGCTTCAAAGCCTGGCTGGTTGCTGCCTGTGGAATCCTTTGTTGGGAGGTGTTAGCTGGCCCTGATTGTTTCCTATCTGGAATTCCCTGTCTTCTGAGTGTTGCTATTTACTGTCTTCATTCTGGTGTTTTTAACAGCGGTAGCCAGATTGCGTTCGTTTTCATGGTTTCCTCCTTCTGTTGAAATTGTCCACCTGCTTCTTGTCTGACATGGTGGTTGTGAGAGTGGTCCAGCATTTCTGTGGATTCCCCCAAATCACATGCTGTGTCCAGGTTGGTTATTCAAGAAGTTGGGCTGTTTTGCACTGTACTTAGTATGTTTGAAGCTGTTCTGGGTCCTTTGGGGGGAGAAAAGTGGGATAGAAAGATGTTATTCTTGTTCTTGTTGGAGAGACCGTCCTTTCGGAGCCATCAGGGAACGTTCTTAAAAATGGGCGATAAGAGTATTGTCCACCTGAGCGATTATGGTTAAGTTAGAAGAGCTTTTGACCCCAAGACACGTAGATGGGAAATAGATTCAATGTAAATACAAAGAGAGAGAGAGCATGGCAATTAAAAAACAATATAAACACTTGTCTACTAACAACCTAAATGAATATTGTAGAACTTTCTTGGAAGCTATTAATAATAAATAATTTAAGAAAAGATTTAATGTGAAACATTATCTGCTATGAAAAATTCAGTTGAAATTCCGTTGAAGAAGAACTGGGAAAGAATAGATGGAGACCAGGAGACAAGGTGAGAAGGCAGGAGAAGATACAACCAACCCATGGATTTGAAATTTAAAAAAGTTAGAATCCTCAATATATTATGAAATATGTGTTATAGCACAGTAAACCCTACGTTATATTTCTATTTATTCGTCTGCTTTTAGTGACTGAATTTCAGTATTCTTATCAAGTCGTACTAAGCCATAGTATGACTTGGGCCTTTTTTAATCGATGCGCTCAAGCATCAAGAAACACTATTTATGCAGCACCTACCAATTCCCAGACACCAAGAACTGGGAAGCCCTGGCCCTTCAGCACTCTGTCTGGAGGTCAGCTGTGACCATCAGTGCTGCAGAATTCGAAGAGGCACAAATGGAGGGAGAAACGTGCCAAGAGGATGGCGCATCAAGCCAAACCTGACTGGGACCGCCTTCCACTTGGAAACCAATGTCCTCACTGCAGGAGAACATGTGGATTGGGAGAGGGGCACTGCTGCCACCTGCGGACCCACTGCCAAGACACCTCACTCGGAGGACCATCATCCTCAAGCTACAAGGGATCACCTGAGTAAGTAAGTAAGTAACCACCCAACCCCCGGGTTAACTCAGAGTTTACTGTAGTAATAATAATAGTGATAATTGGGCATCTAGCCGTCCCAATGGGCGACACTGGTGAACTCGGAGTCTATTGTATTAGTATTGTCAGCAATAACAACAACCATCATCATCATCACCTGGCATCTCGCATTCCCAGTGGGTGCCATGAGTTTACTCGGAGTCTATTGTATTACTATTGTTAGTTATAAATTATGGCATCTAGATGGGCATCTAGCTTGTTTGCTGTGTGCTAATCTTGTTGTGTTTGAGATAATTATCAGCCTCATCAGGCATCTAGCAATCTGAATGGGTGCCATGGGTTCACTCGGAGTGTATTTATTTATATATTTTGTCTCAAAAGCATTGCGTAAACTAGTAAAAAGGTAAAGGTTTTCCCCTGACATTAAGTCTAGTCGTGTCCAACTCGGGGGGGGGGGGCTCATCTCCAAAGAGACCTCCAAGGTCATGTGGCCGGCATGACTGCATGGAGCTCCATTACCTTCCTGCCAGAGCAGCACCTATTGATCTACTCACATTTGCATGTTTTCGAACCGCTAGGTTGGCAGAAGCTGGGGCTGACAGCAGAAGCAGAAATCCGTTCCCTGGATTTGAACCTGCAACCTTTTGGTCAACAAGCTCAGCGCTTTAACCCACAGGGCCACCGGGGCCTCCTGCATAAACTAGTATGAAACTGATAAAAACACAAGGAGCACAAGTGGCTAAAGGTCTTTGGACTCAAAATGGGCAAGAGTGACCGCATTGTCTGTAGCCCCCGACAATTCTTCCTCTGTGCAAGAGGCAGGGCGTGGCGGACAAGCATACAGGTGCGGAGTTGTTCTGCTCCACAGTCGCACAAGCTGGAGGATTCTTCCTGGTTGTGCCTCTGGATCTGCCTACTCCGCTTCCGAGTCTCTTTCGGGGGCTTCCAAGTTGCCCATTCTTGGTTTGCCCCTGGAGGAAGACCCTCCCTCGTGGGTGGGGGGGGGCATCCAATTGGGATTGCCTGGTCTGCTGCCCAGAGGGAGGCTCTGGCTGTTGCTGGAGGAACGTGGAGAGGAGGAGTGGTGGTTCTCCTGAATTGAGTCTCCTGGGAGCGGGCTGATAGCCATGCAGGGCCCGGCCTTCGTTCTCTTACAGTTTGCAGCAATTTCCCATCGCTCACCCCGGGCGGGGGGGGGGGGGGGGGGGGGGCAGGAGAGGGAGCGAATGCTAGCTTGTAGAGCAGGCCTGGGCAGACGTGGCTCCTGCACGTGTTTTGGACTGTAACTCCCACCATTCCTCGCAGCCTCGGGCCCCTTCCTGCTCCTTTCCTTTTCTGCTTAAGCGACTGAGGATGATGAGAAGGAAGAGGCCCAGGGTTGTTAGGAATGGTGGGAGTGGAAAGCCAAACACCTGGAGGGAGGGAGGGCCCAGGCCTGTTGTAGAGCCTGCCCACAGGTGAAGGCTTGAGACATCCAGCGAGGCTTCTGCATGCCTCGCTCAGTGCTGTGTTCGCCTGCTTCGCATGGGCAGAGTGGTGCAAATGGGGCAGGCATCCTCATCATCTGGAGGAGTCTCCGGCGGCGCAGTGGGTTAACACTCTTGTGCCGGCAGGTCTAGAGACCGTCAGGTCGGAGGCTCGAATCTGGGGAGAGCATGGATAGCTCATCCATGTCAGCTCCTCTGTCAGCTCCAGCTCCCCATGCGGGGACATGAGAGAGGCCCCCTACAAGGATGATAAAACATCCAGGGAATGTCTCCAGGGCAACGTCCTTGCAGACAGCCAATTCTCTCACACCAGAAGAGAATTGCAGTGTCTCAACTTGCTCCTTGACAGGGAAAAACAATCCTCACCTGGCACCTTGCAATCCCGGTGGGTGCCATGGGTTAGCTCGGAGCCTGTTTCATTAGTCTTGTATTGCATTCCCGGCACCTTCCTTCCAGGTGTTTCGGACTTCAGTTCCCACAAATCCTAACTGCCTTCGGGGCCAATGTCACTTCCAGAAGGGCTTTGTTGGAGGCGGCGCACATGGTATGGTTCCAAGCAAAGTTCCACCTGACCGTTGGTTCCCCTCTCACCTCCTCCTATCCCTGACTTTGCCCCCCTCTCCCCTTCACAGACCTGTTTCCATGGAAAGCCTCTCCCTTGCCAAGGCACGGCCTGCTTTCATGGTTCCCCGCAACACCAGGAAAGGAGGTCATGGCAGTCAGTCCTCTCGATGTCTCATTGATACTCTTCATGCCAGAGGTCACCTCCTTTGTTTCTCCATGACACCATTTCCCAGGTTCCAAATTTCTCAGGATGGCATCTTCAGCCTTGCCAGACCTTGATAGTCCCTTAGCCAGGCCCCAGCCACGCAGTCCCATCCATTCCATTCCCCACACCCCGTTAGGAGACGCAGCCATAACTACCCAAGAATATTTATTTCATCTCCAAGCCCCCTTCCCTCCCTGCCGTCGTGTCCAGACACACAGAGAGAGAGGGCCACTCTGATTTCCCAGAATCCTTTGCGGCTTGACCCATCAGCATGCAGCGTCCAGGGCCAAGGCCACTCCCGCCACCCAAAGGCCCCACCATGGAAGCGGGAGGGACGGGCTCCGGCCATACTGGCCGCCCGTGCTGTAGATGTCTGCCCACATGTCCGCCTCCGCCTGTGGCATGTGGGCCGCCGAAACCTGTCCCGTGTCCCCAGGGCCCTCGGCGTTGGCCAAGGCGGCCGGGAGCTTGGGGAAGGGGTGCCCGTCGTTGGCGGCCGTCTGCTCCAGCCAGGAGTGGTAGTTGGAGACTCTGGCATAGACGCCAGGGCTCTTCTCGGCCGCGCAGCTGCGCCCCCAGCTGACCACGCCCACCTGGAACCAGCGCTGGCGGATGCTGTGGTTGGGGGGCCGGCACATCAAGGGGCCCCCGCTGTCCCCCTAAGGCGGAAGCACAGAGAGAGAGAGAAGGGGGGGACACACGAGGTGAGGTCACACGGACACACTACACTACGCAACGCGACTCTTGTCCCATGCCATTTCCTAATTGGTTACATAGGCCTACTGCAGAAATAGGCCAATATGGCAGGAAATCAGAACATATGGGCATTGGAAACATCTCTGAAAATTCCCTGTTAAAAGAGACCGTGTCCCCTCTACCAGCACACAAACGTGGACAAAGTTTATTAAACTGCAAAAACTTTTGTCTTTGCGAGAAGATATCATCCTGCAGTAGAATACATTACGGTAGAGTCTCGCTTATTATTTATTTATTTATTTATTGACTTTGCTTCTATACCGCTGTATCTCAAGCCCGAAGGCGACTCACAGCGGTTCACAAACAGTAAAAACAGTAGAAACAGCAGTGGTTCCATACAACATATAACAATTGACTTAACACATTATCCATAAATTACCAATAAGCAATTACAATGCACAATTATTACAAAAAACAACCGTACTCAATCTTCTCATCATCCAAGCGTAGTCCAGGTTCGTCGTCCATTGTTCCATTCCTATGTTCCATTACCAGATTGCACTAATACCTTTCGGACCGCATCTTGGCCTATGAGCCCACGGGGACCTTGAGATCGTCTGGGGAGGCCCTTCTCTCGATCCCGCCTGCTTCACAGGCACGTCTGGCGGGGGACGAGAGAAAGGGCCTTCTCGGTGGTGGCCCCCCGGCTGTGGAACGACCTCCCTGCTGACATCAGACAGGCGCCTCCCTTCTGTCCTTCCGTAAGAGCCTGAAGACCTGGCTATTTGAGAAGGCATTCAACTGAGCGCTACGGCAACTGGTAATTGACAACTGGAACGGAATACGGATTACGATATTGGTTATGATTCTATGATGTGACGGAGCGGATTATTTAGTGTAACTAGATTATAGTGTATTATTGTTGTATTGATTTCCTGTTTTGCCCTTTTGTAAACTGTTTTTATATGTTGTGCACCGCCGCGAGTCGCCCTAGGGCTGAGAGCGGCGGTCAATAAATGCAGTAAATAAATAAATAAATAAATAATTACCCAAACGCCTGCACAAACATCCAGGTCTTCACCTTTTTGCGGAATACCATTAGAGATGGTGCTAGTCTAATGTCCGTAGGAAGGGCGTTCCACAGTCGAGGAGCCACCACCGAGAAGGCCCTATCTCTCGTCCCCGCCAGCCGAGCTTGAGAAGCAGGCGGGATCGAGAGCAGGGTCTCCCCGGAAGATCTCAAAGTCCTGGTGGGTTCATAGGCAGAGATGCGTTCACATAGGTAGCTTATCCGACCCTCCCTCAGCCGGCATTCCGTCTCATCCGACGCTCTTACCCGACGCCCTCCCCGCTTTCCTCCAGCATTTCCCCTTCAATTGAAGGAGCGCTCCCCAACCCTCGCTCCATTCCCAATAAGGGGAAAGGGCAACACAAGGAGGAAAGAGGGAGGAAAGGGGGAGGAAAGGGGGAAAGGAGGCAGAACCGGAAGCGTCCCCCTCCCTTCCCTCCCTCTGTGATTTCCACGCTGCTCTTCCGCATCATCCGGGCACTTCCTCTGGCCCCGAGGCATTGCCTTGCCTGAACCCTTTCAGTCCCTGTTATTAGTATTCTCGGGGTCTAGCCCCGCGTCGGACAGGTAAAAGTCCGTATTATCCGACATTTTGTTTATCCGACGTTCAGCTGGCCCGTTTATGATGGATAAGTGAGACTCTCCTCTATAATATATTACACTCTGTAACACGATTTTTGTTCCTGGGTTATCAATGCCATTTCATAATTGGTTCTATCACAAAAACATGGCGAAAGTTTATTAAACTTCACAAACGTTGTCTTTGTAGGAGGGACATCCTGCTATAGAACATTATATTTATTATTATTATCTTTATTATTATCTTTATTTGTACCCCACTAGCATCTCCCGAAGGACTCGATGCGGCTTACAAAGGCCAAGGCCTCAATACACAACGTAACAATACAAACCTAAAGCAAATTAAAAACAATTAAAGCAATATTAAACAATAAACAATACACCAAAACACAATAAAAACTGGGCCAGGCCAGAGTAATGGGTACAGAAATTAAAAGTGCTGATGTGACAGGTGGTATATAAGGATTATAAGGCAAGTGCAGTGTGCGGCAATCTTAGTTCTAATAAAGTGCCATTATATTTTTTATTATATGTTTATATTATTATTGCATTATATCAAGATTATTATATTATCAAGATTATTATATTATTATATTATATTATTATATCAGTATATTTGTGGGAGGGACATCCTGCAGCACATTACACGATATTATTAGATTATATTATTATAATATTATTATTAAGGTAAATGTTTCCCTGGACATGACGTCCGGCCGTGTCCGAATCTAGGACTGTGGTGCTCATGTCCATTTCTAAGCCAAAGAGCCAGCGTTGTCCGTAGACGCCTTCAAGGTCATGTGACCACTGGCAGGACTGCAGGGAGGTCCGTTACCTTCCCGCTGGGGTGGTACCTATTGATCTACTCACACGTGCATGTTTTTGAATGGCTAGGTTGGCAGAAGCTGGGGCTAACAACAGGAGCTCACCCTGCCCCCAGATTTGAACCTTCAACCTGTGCCACCAGGTGCTCCTATTATATTATTATTGTATTATTGTTATTGTCACTATGTAACACAATTTTTGTTCTTCGATTACAGTGTCGTTTCCTAATTCAGTGTTTCTCAACCTTCCTAATGCCACGACCTGTTAATACAGTTCCTCCTGTTGTGGTGACCCCCAACCACAAAATTATTTTTGTTGCTACTTCATGTAATCTTGCTACTGTTATGAATAGTAATGTCAATATCGGATATGCAGGAGGTATTTTCATTCACTGGAGCAAATGTGGTGCAAATATTTATTTATTTATTTATTTACAGTGTTTATATTCCGCCCATCTCACCCCACAAGGGACTCAGGGCTGATTACAACGTACATATACATGGCAAACATTCAATGCCATCGATACACAACATATATAGACAGGCACACAGAGGCTATTTAACTTTTCCAGCTTTCATGAGGGTATTCTGGCCACCAGGGGAGCTGTGTCCATTTGTGACACTGATGGAGTACTTCCTCATTCTTTTTGCTTGCTTGCTGGAGATTTTATGGTGCTGTAAATTAGTTAAATTAGCCTCCCCGCATAAGCGGTACCCAAATTTCCTACTTGACAGATGCAACTGTTTTTTGGTCTGCAAAGGTCAATAGCAAGTAGTGATCTTAATATAGCTGACTCCCAGATTGAGAAACACTGTCCTAATTGGTTCTATCATAAAAACAGGCAAAGAAGGTATGGAGCAGCTCTGCCTTTTCCCCGTCTGTCCCCAGCTAGCATTCCTCCTCCTTCTCCTCCTCCTCCTCCTCCTCCTCCTCCTCCTCCTCCTCCTCCTCCTCCTCCTCCTCCTCCTCCTCCTCCTCCTCGCAGAGGCCCCACTGCTTCCATTTTCTTTCTTTTTGGACAGGCATAACCAAAGAACCCTTTTCTATTGGTTGTAACCTCTTTGGCAATCCTGAGTTCGCAAACCTTTTAGCTAGATATCACTGATTCTGAAGTCCACAACACCTGGAAGTCCCCAGTTTGGGAAACACTACCCGGAAGTGCAAGAACAGTGCAAGAACAGGAGTCTTATGGGAGTGCAGCCCCCACCCCCATTTGGAAGCCCAAGGCCGAAGGAGTTTGTGTGTGTGCTTTTGTGTATTGGAGGGATGCCCCTTCCCCTTCGTACCTAATAGTAATAATACAGAGTACCTAATAATAATAATAGTAATAATAATAACCTGGCAGGAGTCGCGGCCTCCCTCCTCGAACCCGGCGCAGACCATGTTCCTGGTCAGGGATTGCAGCCAGCGCTGGCAGAGCGTCCAGTCCACGATGTCCACCTGCACGTCCAGCAGGGCAACGGAGCCCTGCTTTGTGTCTGAGAGAGAGAGAGACCCACTCAAGGATGGCAGCCGGGGAATGGTGGACCCCAAAGGCAGGAAGCCCCTCCCCTCCCCCCGAGTGGGAACTCAACCCCGCCCTGCACAAGGCTGTAGTCCTCATCAAGGACTTAGGTCCCAGGTGAGTGAGTGAGTGAGTGAGTGAGTGGTCTGGGGAAAGCCCTTCCTTCCCCATTGCCTGCCTTCCTCTCTCTCCTCCTACCCCTTGCGTGTCAGGGACCACCTCTTTCCACTCTATTTACGATCAAGCTGGGGTGCTGTGAGTTTAGCCTTGAATATGTTTTTCATCAGCTGTATTTTTAACTGCTTTTTGAAAATATATATACCATTGATATTTCTCTTTTAATGTTTGTATATTTTTAGGTTTGCAATTGTATTTAAATGCTTTTAATGCGCACATCTTAATTGCAGAGAGGTAAAGCAGGGAATAAATAAACATAAACAGTCATAAATGATCTGAGTACGTGGCAAGGCTCAGAGTCCTCCTGTGAGCATGGAGAGGGACAAGGTGTCTCCTGGGAGTCAGTTGGCTAGATAGTGAGCCCTGTGTTCACTTCCCTATCTAGTTACGCAGTTCCTTGAATAAGCTCGGTATAAATAAACAGTAATTGTCAAAAAAAAATAAGGCAACTGAGCACACAGCAAGGCTCCTGTGAGCATGGGGGGGGGGGGGGCAAGATGTCTCCTGGGAGTCAGTTGGCTAGATAGCGATGGCCTATCTTAACTTTCCCAACTATACGTATCCCACCAGAGAATGTGCCTGTCTGCTTTTGTAATGTTAATAACAGCAACTACTGCATAGTATCTGGATCCAGGGAAGCCATGCTCTGTTCTGCCTTGCTCTGACCACGTTATTGGGAATCCCACTGTATCCCATTCTGGGCACCGCAATTGGAGGGAGAGGTTGACTTTAAGCTGGAGTGTGTTCAGAGGAAGAGGGCGACTCAAGGGATCCAGGGTTGGAGAACAAGCCCTATGAGGAGCGGCTTAAAGAGCTGGGCATGTTGAGCCTGCAGAAGAGAAGGCTGAGAGGAGACATGATGAGGGCCATGTATAAATATGTGAGGGAAGTCCTAGGGAGGAGGGTTCCTTTCTGGGGCCCGGAGACTAGGACACAATGGAGCCGTGGCTTCAAGCGACAGGAAAGAAAGGAGATTCCACCTGAACATGAGGAAGAACTTCCTGGCTGTGTGTGTGAGAGAGCCGTTCAGCAGTGGAACTCTCTGCCCCGGAGTGTGGTGGAGGCTCCTTCTTTGGAAGCTTTTAAACAGGGGCTGGATGGCCATCTGTCAGGGGTGCTCTGATTGTGATTTTCCTGCTTCTTGGCAGAATGGGGTTGGGCTGGATGATCCACTCGATCTCTTTCAACTCTGGGGTTCTATGATGGGTTGAGGCGTGGCGTGGGGCTTGCTCCCATTTGCGTAAAGCTCGCTGTGCATTGATCTGATCAATAAACTCCTGCCGGGTCCCCCGTCACTCACTCACTCACTCACTCACTCACCGGGGTGGGTGAGCCCCCACCCAGCCACGTAGCAGCTCTCCCAGAGGTCGTCGTCGGGCACGATGGTGCGGTCGGCGAGGCAGAGGAGGCTGTGGAAGGGGCTGTAGGGGATGGGCTCCTCCAGCAGCAGCAGCGCAATGTCGTTGTCGTACGTCTTGTGGTCGTAGAGCGGGTGCAGGCGCACCTTGCGCACCCAGCGCGTCACGTTGTTGCGCCCCAGCAGGTTGCTCCCGGCCGCCACCTTGATGTGCTTCCTCCTTTAAAGAAAGGCCTATAACAGAACTTCTGTGATGTTTTCACTCTTCAACGTTTTCACCAGTTTTAGCATATTATTCACAAAATAAATAGCGGTGGGTGCCCCCTCCCAGTGTGGCATGGATAACTGCCACACTGCCCACATTTTATTCTATTTGATGTTTGCATCTCAGAGCTGGAAGGGGCCCTTAAGGGCATCTAGTCCAGCCTCATTCTGCCAAACCCAGAAAGGATCAGGCTAAGGGATGAATGTAAAGCAAAGGCATGATATATTGTAATGCTACTCATATTTAATGCTCTTTTGATGTTTGTATCCCAGAGCTGGAAGGGGCCCTTTAAGGGCATCTAGACCAGCCCCATTCTGCCAAGCCCAGGAGGGGTCAAGCCAAGGGACGAATGTAAAGTGAAGGCCTTACTTATTGCCACACTGTTCACATTTTATTCTATTTTGACATGGTATCCCAGCAGGAAGGGGTCTTTTAAGGGCATCTAGTCCAGCCCCAAGGTGGCTGGAATAAAGTCACGGGAAGGCATATTACACTGCCATACTGTTTTTATTTAGTTCTATTTCAATATTTATTTATTTATTTGGCTTGTATACCGCCACTCCCAATTTGGCTCGGAGCGGTTTACAGCAGTAGATTAAAACAATACAACCAACTTTAAAATACAATCAAAATGAGAACCGACATAGTCCCGAGTTATTCACCCATCGAAAGCTTGTTGGAAAAGAAAGGTTTTGCCTTGCAGAGAGGGAAGGGGCCCTTGAAGGGCATCTAGTCCAGCCCTGTTCTGCCACACCCAAGAGGGGTCCGGCCAAGGAACGAAAGAAAAGGGAAGGCATGACGCTCGTTTTGATGTTTGCACCCTGGGGCTGGAAGGGGCCCTTTAAGGACATCTAGTCCAGCCCCAGGGGAGTCAGGACAAGGGAGGGGTGGCTGGACGAAATAAAGGGAAGGCATGCTTTATTGCCATACTGTTCACATTTGATTCTATTTGGATGTGTGCACCCCAGAGCTGAAAGGGGCCCTCTAAGGCCATGTAGTCCAGCCCTGTTCGGCCAAACCCAGGAAGGTCATGCCAAGGGACGAAAGTAAAGTGAAGGCATGATTTACTGCAATATTGTTAGTATTTAACTCTTAATGGATTGTAATTTTAAAATTGCATTGTATTGGTTTTATTGTGAGCCGGCTTGTGTCTCTATTTTAGAGAGAAAAAGCAGTATACAAACAATAATAAATATGATGATGATGATGATGATGATGATGATAGTAAATCCAGCTGGTCCTCGGTATCCTCTGGGATTTAGCTTGAGGGACCCTTCCCCCCCCCCCCCCCAATATATATCATAACGTGTGGAAGACGTGTTGGTCTCTTCCAGCTCTAACCTTCTATGGCTGTAGAAGCCCCATTCCATATAAGAATGCATGTAGGCAATGCTTGAGGCAACGGCCAAAGGACCATCATCTCTGGACCCTTTCAGGCCTGGCTTACCCCTCTTTGGTGAAGCAGTGGGCGGCGGAGAGGACCCACCAGGGATGGACAATGGACCCTCCGCAGAAGTGGAAGGCGCCGGTCTGGATGCTGACCACCCAGGGCCACTTGCCTTCATCCGCCTTGGAGCCCCCCACAATGCGGGAGCCCCCCACCGAGAAGCCCTGCACGCCGTCATACTCCGGCCGGAATCCGCAGCCTGAGGAGGAAGAGGAAATAGGAAGGGAAGGAGGGAGAGGGAGGAGGAAGAGGTGGAGAAAGAAGGAGAAGAGGAAGAAGGAAGAGGGAGAACGGGGAGAAAGGGGAAGGAGGAAGAGGACAGAGAAAGGAAGTGGAGGTGGAAGAGGAGAAGGAAGAAAAATAAGAAGAAGAGGAAGTAGAGGAGGAGGAAGAGAAGGAAGAGGAAGGAGGATGAGGAGAAGAAAGAGGAAAGTGGGAGAGGAGACAGAGGAAGGGGGAGGAGGAGGAAGAATGGTTTTTAGTGGGGAATTTTTAATACTGCTTCTATTTAACCATGTTTTAATGTTTTGCATACTGGTATATTTTAAATTCATGACGATCCATCCATCTAGTGCAAAAGCTGAGGTCCAAAGAAGGACAAGTGAACTCAAGAACATCTGGTGGACAAAAGAGGCTGAGGAAACCCAACACTTGGCTGATACCCATGATGCTCAGAGATTTTTTTTAAAGCCACAAAGGTCATCTACAGATCAAGGAATCACGGCATACACCCTCTACGCTCATCAGATGGAACCAAACTTCTGAAGGACAAAAAATCAATTGCACTGCGTTGGAAAGAACACTACCAAAACCTACTGAATCATAGCTCCAATGTGGCCAAAGAGGTTCTCTCACAAATCCCACAACAACAAACCAAGGATGAATTTGCAGCATTACCTAGTTTGGAGGAAGTCAGCAACACCATCAGCCAACAAAAAAATAACAAAGCCAGTGGACCTGATGGGATCCCTGCTGAAATCTTTAAAGAGGGAGGACCTGAGCAGACACAACAACTCCACCAGCTCATAGAAAAAGTGTGGGTGACTGAGAAAATCCCAGCAGATTTCAAGGATGCCCCCATCATCGCCCTCTTCAAAAAGGGGAAACGACAGACTGCGTAAACTATCAAGGTCTCTCCCTTCTAACCTCCGCTGGGAAAATCCTCGCAAGAATCCTTGCAACCCGCCTTCTGCCCCTCTCAGAAGACCCCCTCCCAGAATCCCAGAATGGCTTCCGCCCCTCCAGAGGAACCGTGGACATGATCTTCACTGCACGACAGCTCCAAGAAAAAGGCAGGGAACAACATCAACCTCTGTCCGTGGCATTCATGGACCTTGCAAAGGCATTCGACACAGTGAACCGCAGCGCTCTCTGGACCATCCTCCACAAAATCGGGTGCACTAACAGATTTGTGACCATCCTGCGGCTCCTCCAGGATGACATGATGGCAACAGTCTTGGACAGCAATGGCTCCCAAAGTGACCCATTAAAGGTGGGACCGGGTGTCAAACAGGGATGATGTGTTATTGCCCCTGCCCTATTTTCCACCGGAGTGGAAATCCTCTTATCAGACAGATGGCAAGCTATTTAACCTCCGCAGACTGAAAGCCAAAACCAAGGTCACAAGATCCGTTCTAGAACTCCAATATGCTGATGACAATGTCCTCTGTGTGCATTCAGAAGACGACCTTTGCAGAAGCAAATGAGAAGCTCGGCCTCTCATTGAACATCGCGAAAACGGAAGTTTTCAGGCACCAGCCAATCCCTCTGCAATGCCAGAAATACAGCTTAATGGTGTCGCATTAGAAAATGTTGACCCTTCCCGCTCCCTTGGCAGGCACTTCTCCACAAAAGTCAACATTGACACTGAAATACAACACCGTCGGGAGACCAAGGGGCTTGTTTATAAACCTATTCCGCTCCCTGCTGTGCACCTGCGAAACGTGGACTGTCTACAGACATCACATGCCACTCCTGGAATAATTCCATCAGCGTTGCCATTGGAAAACCCTGCAAATCCCTTGGGAAGACAGCCGGACAAAGGTCAGCGTGCTGGAAGAAGAAGCAAAGACCACCAGCACTGAAGTGATGCTGCTGCGCCATCGACTCTGCTGGACTGAAGGACACGTTGTCCGAATGCCCAAAGATCACCATTGTCTCCCAAAGGAGTTACTCTACTCCCAACTCAAGAACGGGAAATGTAATGTTGGTGGACAGGGAAAGAGATTGAAAGACAGACTTAAAGCTAACGTTAAAACTGTGGCAGAGACACTGAGAATTGGGAAGCCCTGGCCCTTGAGCGCTCTAACTGGAGGTCAGCTGTGACCAGCAGTGCTGCAGAATTTGAAGAGGCACGAATGGAGGGTGGAAAGGGAGAGATGGGCCAAGAGGAAGATGCATCAAACCGCCTTCCGTCTGGAAACCAACGTCCTCACTGCGGAAGAACATGTGGATCCAGAACAGGGCTCCACCGCCACGTACTGACCCACCACCAAGACACTGCGCTTGGAAGGAAGGCCGTCATCTTCGGGCTGCGAGGGATTGCCTAAGTAAGTAAGGATTTTAAATGGTACACTCATGCAATTTCTCTTTTCAGTCTCCTTCGGGAGGAATAAAGCAGGGTACAAACCAGGCATGAGCAAACTAAGGCCTGGGGGGCGGGGGTGGCCCCTGGGAACTCACCTCAGGCCCTCCTCCTCATTTTCCCCGTCCTCTCGACATAAGGACACGGCGGCCCATCGCATCCTTATGCAGAAAGGACGGAGGAGGCAGGCACGCAGCAGGTAAGGGCCTCTGGAGCGCGCTCAGCCACCGCTCAAGGCAAGCATGCCGCGGCTGAGAGCCCTCCGGAGCATTCCCGGCCGGTTTCCTGCCTTGCCCTCCACCTGGCATAATGGGGGGGGGGGGGCAGCCCAAATATTGGGGATAAGGACCAAGGCAGTCGCCGCATATCTCGTTGTCCTCCTGGCAGCCCTGTCCTCATGCCAGGAGGACCCCCATCAGTGCCCCCCTCCTTTTCCCTGTTAACCCCCACCTTGAGCCCTCGCCCCCTCCCAAAGGGCCAGGAGTGCCAGGAGCGCCAGGGGGGCCATGGGGTCTCTCGAGAGCCTGGGACCCTCCAGCAGGCCCTCCTCCCTGTGAGAGCGTGCATGATGACATCATAGATCTCTACCTGGTGATGTCACAAACAGAAGCCGCATCGCTTTCCCCCCCCCCCCCCCGCCCCCAACTCCAAGGCAAGTCTGTGGGTCTGCAGCGAAAGAAGGGCCTGGGTGGGAACGCCTGAGTCCCGTGGAGTCTCTCCTTCTAGAGGAACATGGCGTTCACAACCTTTTGGGAGAACACCTTTTGGAGATCGTAACTTTTTAAGAGAAGCCTGACCTTTCAGAGAAGAGCCAAAACCCTTGAGAGGACCATCTTCTCTTGTGGTATTCAGCCAGATGTAATTATGCAAGGCAATGCCTTCCGTTGTTAGACTGAATAACCTGTTGTCTCTCATCTCTTAGGAAAACAGAGATTTGCCAATGTTTAAAACAGCAGGGCTTTAGAAGTATTTCCCACTGTCCTTACACACGGTAAGCTGTTAGGAATTATGGGAGTTGAAGTCCAAACCCTAACCCAGGCCTGGTATCTACTCTCTCGTAAAACATCTTGTTTTATATCATGCACTCAAGAGACAAAAGGAAGTAGGCTTAGATTAAAAATAACATGTTTGGTTTACTCACAACCTTCATGTGTTCAGCATACATAGGGACACAGCTTATCTGCCCAGTTCCAGATCTGTCTGAGATCATTCTCTGTGCCATCCGGCCTGGGCATCTCTCTTATAACAAAGCAGCAATTGACAGGTCGCAGGGCCAGAATGAGGGAGAAGGAAGAGAGCGCACGGGGTCCGCAGCCCCTTTGGTTGTCATTCTGTAGGCATTGCATAGGTGTGCCATCAAGGCCCTCCCTGGTGGAGCGTGCCAAAGGAACCTGCAAAGCCCCCTCCTCCAAGGGGAACGGGACCCCCTCAGCTGGGCTTGGCAGGCCCATGGAGACTCCCCCTCAGGCATCAGAAGAGCTGCAAGACAGCCAAGGACAAGCCACGAGAGTCAAGGCAAAGGCCCACCCAGAGGAGAAGTGTTCTTGCCGGACATCAAGGGAACCCCTGACCGCAGAGGGAAACTGAGGAAGAAACACAACCTACAAACGATCTACACCCTCCCCCCCCCCCAAGAAAATTCAAGGTTCAGCAAAGGACACGAGGGACCCTCTCACCTCTGCAGGAGTTGGCCACTGTACGCGGTGCAGCTGTGGACAAGGAGTCTCCAAAGGGGCCACCAAATGCCACAACAGCAGCAGCAACCTTCCCCAACACGAGTCAAAGCGCACAAAAGGCACCGCAGATTAGCTCAGCCAGAGAGGTCGGCCATAGCAGAGCACCCGAGGAACCAACCTGCACACAGCACACCATTGGAGGACACAGAAATGCTGGCCACTCTCACAGCCACCGTGTCAGGCGACACAGAGAAGCCATTGACACCCACCAGAAGCAGGTGGACATTTTCAACAGAAAGGAAGAAGAAACCACGAAAAGGAACACACTCTGGGGACCGCTATTGAAGAGGAAATGCAAAATCAGGGCAGTAAATAAAGAGCAACACTCACAAAGGAGGGGAATTCCAGGCAGGAAACCATCAGGGCCAGCTAATCACCTCCCAACAAAGGATTCCACCAAGCAGGAAACAGCCAGGCTTTGCAACTGCAAGGCTACTGAAGGCTAATCAAGCTGGCTAATTGAGACATTCAGACTTGCCTCAAACAGACAAGAGTTCTTTCTCCCACCCTCGAGATCATTCTACAGGGATGTATATACAGGGAACCTGGCCAGGCAGCCCGGGAAACTCCCAGCCACTCAATAGATACATAGATATGTGTGTGTGTGTGTATACCCAACTTGCCTCATTTCCAACAGACCTCACAGACTCTGAGGATGCCTGCCTGTCATAGATGTGGGTGAAACGTCAGGAAAGAATGCTTCTGGAACATGGCCAAACAGCTGGAAAACTCACAGCAACCCAAAGACAAGGAAAGCCGAAACTGTAGTGACTTGGAAAAGAATGCTGTGATCACTAAACGTCAGCATGGATTTCTCAAAAACAACTCATGCCGCAATATATTAATAGAGTCATTGTGTGTGTGTACACACACACACACAATAGATACATACTAATATATCTAGTAATGGATCCATAGCCGCTTTGGGTCTCCTTTGGGAGAGATAAAGCGGGATATAAAAGGCAATAACACTGGCTGGTTCATTGGAGAGCACGGACACGCCGGACCAGTTGGACACCCGCCAGGCCGGGCAAGGCAGAGAGGGCGCTGAAACCCACAAGAAGCAGGTGGGCCATCTCCACAGACAGGAGGAAACCAGGAACACAAACACAATCCGGCTCCCACTGTGTAAGAAACTGCGAAATCAGGACAGTCAATAAAGGGCAACGCTCACAAAGGAGGGGAATTCCAGGCAGGAAACCATCAGGGCCAGCCAATGCCTCCCCACCAAGGATTCCCCCAGGCAGGAAGGAAGGAAGGAAGGAGCCAGGCTTTGAAGCTGAAAGGCCACTCAGTGCCAATCAAGGAGGCCAATGGCAGCATCCCCACTTGCCTCCCACAGGCGAGAGTTCTTTCTCCCACCCTGGGCATCATTCCACAGGAGAGAGGGGGAGGGAGGGAGAGAGATGCCATAGATGGGCTTCTGGAGCCTGGCCCGGGGAACTCCCAGCCACTCAATACAGAGGCGCACAAAGGTTAAGAGGAGCGTGTTCATCATCCTGGTCAAAGATCCAGAGGAAGATGTGGGAGGGGCCTTGGGGGTGGGGGGAGTGGGAGCACTCGTGGAAAGAGGCTGGGTGGCCATCCGTCGGGGGGGCTTTGAGTGCGACTGTCCTGCTCCTTGGCAGAATGGGGTGGGGCTGGGTGGTAGCCCGCCACTAGAAGGGGAACCCCTTTGTCCTGGGGACGGAGAGGGAATACACGAACCCCCCCCCCCCCGGACTGACCAGGCGCCTCGCCCGCAAGAGCGCCTCGCCATCGGCTCAGCAGGAGGAAGCAGGAGGGCGCCCCAGAGGACATCGAGACCCCCCTCCCCCGCCCAAAGGGGAGGCAGGGGAGGGGCTCAAAGAGGGAATTCCCCTTGGGATGCAGCTGGGCTCCCGGCCAGCCCTTTGCCCCCCCCCCCCCCGGTTGGCCCGCCCCTTCTTTTCTTTCCTTTCCTTCCGCCCGCTTTCGCTTTCGCCCAGAAGCAGGAAGCTGCCCTTGGGACCAGGCGGGGGATGGTGGGACCCTGGGCTTCCTCGCGGCGGGGACCCTCCCGCCTCGCCCTCCTCCTCCCCCTCCTCCTCTGGCCAGGTGAGCCGAGATAGCCGTCCCCCCCCCGTCCCCCTCCTCCTCCTCTTCTCTCGCCCGGCTCCGGCCAGACTCTCAGGGTCCCCGAAAGGGCGGCGGGGGGGTGGGCTGGATGGCCGCAAGGGGACCCTTCGCCACTCAGGGCGGGCAGCCCCCCCCCCCTTTGATGCCTGTAATAAATCTATCCCCGCCGCAAGGGAGCCCATGGGGAGTGTGGCCACCCGATGGAGACGGAGGGGGGGGGGGGCGAGGTGGCCTCTCTGGGGGTCCCAGCCAAGGCAGCCGTCCCCCCGCCCGTCCCCCTCCTCCTCCTCTTCTCTCGCCCGGCTCCGGCCAGACTCTCAGGGTCCCCGAAAGGGCGGCGGGGGGGTGGGCTGGATGGCCGCAAGGGGACCCTTCGCCACTCAGGGCGGGCAGCCCCCCCCCCCCCTTTGATGCCTGTAATAAATCTATCCCCGCCGCAAGGGAGCCCATGGGGAGTGTGGCCACCCGATGGAGACGGAGCGGGGGGGGGGCGAGGTGGCCTCTCTGGGGGTCCCAGCCAAGGCAGCCGCCCGCCCCCCTTCCTGCCTGTAAGGGTGGAGAGACCCCCACAGGGAGACAGGCAGGGAGCCCGCGGACACTGCGACCCTCCCGGAAGGAAGGAAGGAAGGAAGGAAGGAAGGAAGGAAGGAAGGAAGGAAGGAGCCCGGAGCTGGCCCGGCCGGGGGTTTCCCTGCCTTCCTCTCAAGTACTTCCGTGGTGCCGTTTGGTGGTGGTGGTGGTGGTGGTGGTAGGGGGTCGAAGGTGGGGGTGTCTAGGTTTGCAAACAGAGAGCCTTGGTCGAAGCCTGATTCTTGTTTGGTCTGATCCAGGCCTGGGCCAACTTGGGCCCCCCTCCCCCTCCCCATCCCTCCCCCCTCCCTCCCTTCAGGTGTTTTGGACTCCAACTCCCACAATAACTCCTGACAGCCTGTGTGTTGTGAGGCATGGTGGGAGCTGGAGCCCAAAATACCTGAAGGGAGGGAGGGAGGGAGGGAGGGAGGGAGGCCCCCAGTGTGCTCCTGCCTGGTCTCATCATGGTTCTCCTCCTGGTTTTGCAAGGCAGGACCCCAAAGCGCAGGCGCACTCCTCCTCTGGGGGTGGCTAGGCAGATGTCTCTCTGCCGGGAGGGATCAGACGGTGTCTTCTTGCCCAGCAGAAGAGGGTCGGGCTGGATGGCCTTCATAGATCCCACCCAATCTAGAATTCTATGGAAGTCTTTAAACAGGGGCGGGATGACCATTTTCAGGGAGGGGTCGAACGGTGTCCTCTTGCCCAGCAGAAGAGGGTCAGGCTGGATGGCCTTCAGGGCTCCCTCCCAATTCTAGGAATCTCTGCCTTGAGTTTGCCCTCAATGGACCGCAGCCTCTCTGAATTGAGTGGCCATTTCCCGGGCGAGAGTGGCCGAAGGCAGAGAACTCCTTGGTGCTGGTGACCAGTGTTCCCAGTCTGGCCCCGGTGGGACTTTCCGGCCATCAGGAGAGCCAGCCTTGGCTTGGCTTGGCTTTCTCTTTCCTTCCTTCCTGCCAAGTGTTTGGGTGGCGTCATCGGAAGGCGCGTCCCTTGCCGGCTGCAATCGCAGAGTGTAAATGCACATCATCATCATCATCATCAAGGAAGGAAGGAAGGAAGGAAGGAGGGCCCTTGGCAGCCCCCACCTCCTTTCTTGGCCCTCTTTGGCCCCCTCCCCCTTTTAGGCAGCCCTACCCAGGCAGTTTTAATTCCGAATGTGAATCTTGCACCTCTGTTTTGTATATTTTAATATGTATTTTGTGAAAATAAGTTTTCATGTTTGCATATTGGTATATTTTAAGGTTTTTTTCATGTCAGGAGTGCAAGTGGCTTCTGGTGTGAGAGAATTGGCCATCTGCAAGGACCTTGCCCAGAGGACATTGCCCTAAGGGTGTCTGGTATTTTGCCTTCCTTGTGGGAGGCTTCTCTCATGTCCCCGCATGGGGAGCTGGAGCTGACAGATGGGAGCTCATCCATGCTCCCCAGATTCAAACTGCCAACCTTATGGTCAGCAGTCCTGCCAGCACAAGAGTTTAACCCAGACATGGGCAAACTTCAGCCCTCCCTCCAGGTGTTTTGGACTCCAACTCCCACCATTCCTAACAGCCTCAGCCCCCTTGCTTTTCCTTTTGCCTTTGCTTTCCACTTAAGCGGCTGATATAATAATAATAATAATAATAATAATAATAATAATAATAATAATAATGTGTATTTTAAAGAAATAATGATGATGATGATCATTCCTGACCCCCGATGACCCCTATCTTTGTGTGTGCCCCCAACACAGTGTTTGGGAATGAGGGGGGCACGGCCGGGAGCTGCAATTGCCGGAGGAAGGACACCATCCAACCAGACCGAGTGATAAGCCGAGTCAAGTCCTGGGGCGACTGCCAGCAGTCCAGCCTGCAATACGTCCAGTGAGTGGCCGGATTAAAGCTTGACCACTGACCCTTTGCCCAGAGGTGCCCGCCTCATCTTTGTTCTCCTCCACAGGTTCTTTTTCCCAAATTTCAGCCTTTGCGTCCCACTTGGCGACCCGGGGGCCGAAAGACTGAAGGAACTGATATCACAAAAAGGTAAAGTACGGATTTTTTCCCCAACTCAACACCAGGTTGCGCTGTTGAAAGCTTTCATGGCCAGAATCAGTGGGTGTTAAAGCAAGTGTGAATGTTGCAGTGAGCAAGCTTGATTAGCATTGAATAGCCATGGAGCTGCAAAGTCAATCAGGGAGGGTCTCTGCACAGAGGGAGTGAAGCAAGTGGTGTGTGTGTGTGTCTTCTGCCCTCTTTTGCTTTTGGCCCAGAAGCAAGAAGCGTGATGAAGCTGCAAAGTCAATCAGTGAGGGACTCTGCTTAGAGGTAGCCTGGCTGTTGTTGCCTGGGGGCATCCTCTGTAGTTGTCGTATTTTCCAGCAAATGCTGATAAACTCTCCTTGTTTATTTCAAGCTTTAGACAAACTATTACTTGTGTTTTCCAAGGTGCGCTTGTGTCTGCTGCTACATGTGGGGCAAATTAGGCTCCCTTGCATGAGACTCTTTTATAATGTGGCCATCCCACACCAAAAGGAGTAAAAGCGGTGTAGCTAAGATAGATGATATTTCAGTTAAGCGACTCTACAGTACAGGCGTTCTCTGTGAGCTGTAGTCCATTAGGTCCCTCTAGGTATGATATTCCCTGGCTACGCAGCCACGGTGCTATGGTATTGCTTTACTGAAATGGGTGGGTTGATAATGGGACACCAGCAAGATGTGTATTGGGACTAGTGGGCATTGCATGCTGGTGTGGAGAAGGATGGACACCATCAGTCTGCCCATCGGTCATAATCACTCGTGTCACGCAACTATGAGCTCCCTGGCACTGACACTGAGAACATGGCTATGCGTGTCTTTTGTTTAATCTTTGTTTAAAGCATGTAAGAAATAAATTATCATTATTTTTATTGACACAAAAACACAGCATGTCACAGCACACGAGATCTCTCTGCTGGATTTCGTGTCACAAAATCCCAAGGCGAACCCTTCCCAAGCGTCTAGGACTGTGTGATGTATTTTCGAAGGATGTGCGCAGATCCAAGTCAGGTGGCCTTTTGCAGTTGGCAGGTTGTGATTTTGTCCATGTTGATTGTTAACACATGCCGGCCGAGATCTTTTGGCACGGCACCCAGTGTGCCCATTACCACTGGGACCACCTGTACTGGTTTCTGCCAGAGCCTTTGCAGTTCAATTTTGAGGTCCATTTTCCTCAATGCGACTGTCAACCTGGAATGGCGACATCAATAATCCAGACTTTTTTCTTTTCCGTGATGTCTGGCGTGTTGTGTTCCAAAACTTTTGTCAGTCTGGATTCAAAAGTCCCACAGGATGTTTGCGTGTTCATTTTCCACTCCCTTTGCAGGTTTATGATCCCTTGACCAATTCTTTACTGCTGGCAAGTGGTCCTTGTGACACAAGTTCCAGTGAATTATTATTATTATTATTATTATTATTATTATTATTATTAAAGGGGGGGGGCAGGATGATGGAAAGGACACTTGAAGCAGCCATAAAGATCAATTGCCCTGATGTGGATTGCAGTGACTTATGGCATTGTCTGCATTAGGCAAAGTCCTCCATCGATGGACCTTTGTGCAAGACTCTTGTATTCCGAACAAGACAGGTGTTTGGTACTCTGACGGGTGTTTGGTCGGCTCCCATGCGCCTTGGAGCATCCTTTCAAGGGAAGGCTAAACCCATAGCAGCGCAGCCGATGCAAATCCACTCATTGTTGACCTCCTTTGTTTTCCTGCAAAGAAAATGCAAGAGTGGATGCCAGCAAAGGGGACCAGGGACCCCCAACAGGGACCCCCAAAGCACAGCCGGAGCCCCCCTTTCGGATGGACGCTCCTCCGACCTCCAAGGGACCCCCAACAGCCCAGCCGGACCCACGTTTCTCATCAGACGCCCCTCGGACGACGAGGACAAAGCAAGGTGAGTGCAGGACCCTCAAGCAGTGCAGGACCCTCCCTTTGGGTGTTCTGGACGTCAGCTCCCTGCCTGCCCTCAAGTGACCCCTCCCCAAAGGTCAGGGGAGTCATTTCCAGGAAAAAGAGTATTTTTCCTGGAAATGAGTGTGGCCATTTTGAGGAAGATGGATGCTCGTTAAGGTAAACAAACTAGTCCAATGTGGGCAAGGCAAAACTACGGTCAGGTGGGCCTGGAATTGGTGAAGTGAAGGGGCCCAGTGGGCGATTCTGCCCAAGGCTTCCTCGTCTTCACCCTGGAAAGGAGCGGCGAGTGGGGTGCCATCCGCAGGGTCCCCTCCTGGGCCTGGTTCCGTTGCGGGTCTTGATTCATGACTTTGGGGAAGGGTCAGAAGGCGGCCGGGCGGGGGGGGGGGGTCCCTGCTGGTTCTACTGGACTTCTCAGCAGCGATTGATGCCATCGACCGTGGATTGTCACATTGGTTGAGACTTGATGAGAGCGCCATTGAAAAACTATTGCAAATCGGGCTCCAGCAGGATGAGGACGTCCTGTTTCCTGCCGTGTGTCTGTAGTTTAACCTTGTTTTAATATTAATGTTGTTTCATGCTGTTTTAGTATTTGCATTTTTGAAGTTGCCTTGAACGGCTTCTGGTTGAGATCCCCTTTGAGTCTCCACCTTGCTTTTTGCAGAGGAGGAGACCCCCGCCACGCAGGGGCCCTCGGAGCCCCCCCTCACCCCAGGGGCCGCGGTGGGGCAGCCAGGGAGACCCCCGACGCCCCAGCAAGGTCAGTCGCGCAGGGGCAGCCCCTCCCCTTTGGTACGGGCGGTGCTATTGGCCGCATTTGGGGGTCCATAACCACCACACTCTTGCTGTCTTCCCGTGTATCGCGCAGGGTCTGGTCCCGGCCAGTCGGACCCCCAGCCGCCCTCTTCATCCCACCCCACTGTCGCCATCGTCAGCCTTCTGGGAATAGTGCTCATCTTGGTGGCCGTCGTGGTGTTCTTGATTTGCCGGAAGAGGCGTCGGGATGGGACACTTCACCCGGCTGTCCTAGGTGAGCAGCCAGCCCCCATTACAAGCGGGGTCTGCCTTCTCCTCCCTTCGCGCTTTGTGAAGGGCGGCTGAGCAGATCACTGCGGGAAAAGAGATGCCAAGCGATGCGGGGCTTGGGGGCTGCCATAGGGTCCCAGAGTGGGAAGGGGCCCCCAAAGGCCATCCAGTCCGGTCTGTTCTGCCGGGCAGGAAGACAGTCAAAACCCTCTCCATAACACTACTACTACTACTACTACTACTACTAATAATAATAATAATAATAATAGGATCCCAAAGTGGGAAGGGGCCCCCAAAGGCCATCCAGACCAGTCAGTTCTGCCAGGCAGGAAGACAGTCAAAACACTACTACTACTACTACTACTACTAATAATAATAATAATAATAGGATCCCAAAGTGGGAAGGGGCCCCCAAAGGCCATCCAATCCAGCCCTTTTCTGCTGGGCAGAAAGACAATAAAAACACTCCCAGCAGATGACCATCCAGACTTTCCATAATCATAATTGTAAGAATAGTAATAGGATCCCAGAGTTGGCAGGAACCCCAAAAGGTCATCCAGTCCAGCCTACTTTGCCAGGCAGGAAGTCAATCAAAACCCTCTTGACAGACGGCTCTCCAGGCTCTCCATAATAACAACAGTAATAGGATTCTAGAGTTGGAAGGGTCCCCAAAAGGTCACCCAGTCCATCCCTCTTCTGCCAGGCAAGAGGACACCCTCTAATCCCTCATATTTTGCTTTACTTGATGAGTCTCCCTTGTCACAGAGTCCTAGAGTTGGAAAGGACCTCAAAGGCCATCCAGTCCAGCCCCATTCTTCTGCCAGGCAGGGAGACCATCAAAACCCTCTCAATAATAATAATAATAATAATAATAATAGAATCCCAGAGTTGGAAGGGACCCCCAAAGGCCATCCAGACCGACCTCTTTCATCAGGCAAGAAGACTCCATCCAAGCCCTCCTGACAGATGGCCTTTTAGACTCATAGACATTACCGGTTTCTTGGAGAAATGGGGCTATAGTGTCAAAGAAACCTAACATTGGAAGGGACCCCCAAAGGCCATCCAGACCAACCTCTTTCATCAGGCAGGACGACCCCATCCAAGCCCTCCCCACAGATGGCAATCCAAACTCTTACTTGCCGAGTCTCCCTTGTCATAGAACCCAAGTGTGGGAAGGGACCTCAAAGGCCATCCAGTCCAGCCCTATTCTTCTGCCAGGCGGGACACCATCCAATCCCTCCCGACAGATGGCCACCCAGCCTTTGCTTAAAAACTTCCAAGGAGGAGGCTTCGCCCGGCTCTTCCTAAAGGCCCCTGTTGTTTCCCTTCCAGGCGAGGAGATCCATCGGCTGAACCTTCCTGAGAAGACCTGACGCCAACGCGATGGCACTTTGGTTGCCGGGCCCACTTGGTGAGGGAGTGGCCAGTGTTTATTTATATGGATCTGCCTGCCTGCCTGTGTGTGTACGTGTGTGTGTACTGAGTCCTGGAAGAGCCCTGATTCTGGAAATTGTGGGGCTGCTACTCCCTCCTTCCCCTTCTTTTGTATGGTTCCCCCTCCCACTTCCTTTCCACTTCCTGTTTTGTTTTCTTTGCACAAAGACTAGTAAACAGTGGTCTATTTTTTAAGCCTGTCCTGCCTTTGTGAGGGAGTTCGGTGGTGAAGCGCCTTTGGAAGGAAGGACCCTTTCCTCGGTGGAGAGACCCCGGCTCCATTTGCACCCCGGATGGAGTTGCCTAAGCGCTTGCTAAGAGCCCCGCCCACTTTCCCTTCTCGAAGTCAGGCGGCCGCTGAGTCATTCTGGGATCGGCCGTGATGCCCTTCGTGGGGATTCCCAGCCACAGGAAGCTTCCCTCTGCCCTCCTTTCCTGCAAACATCTCCTAGCACACCCACTCGGAATGTTTCAAAACCCGGAAGTGAGAGCCCGGCATCTCCAGGCAGAGACCCGCCTTGGGTCAGGCTTGATGGCCTCTGGAGGGCCCTCCCCGCTCCCTTTGGACTCTTTAACACCACGAATCAATTAGACTTGGGAGTCTGATTATCCTAAGACCACAGAAGAGGCCCCAAAGGCCATCCGGTCTCACTTTGTACCGTTCAGGAAGACACCATCCGATCTCTCCCGACAGATGGCCATCCAGACTCTGTTTCAAACCCTCCAGAGAGACTCCATTGCATTCCGAGAGAGCGTATCCTGCTGCCAAATCGCTTTAGAGTGTCACTTTGAAATTGTGGTCATTTCAAACCAGTGAGTGGGAGTCAGGCTTGGTGGGGACCCTCTGGGGAAGACAGTCAAAACACTACTACTACTACTACTAAGAATAGTAATAGGATCCCAGAGTTGGCAGGAACCCCCCCACTCTGCTCTGAGCCCACCAGCCAAGGCAAGTGTTTGGTGAAGGAACCAAGGGACTGCCCTGAAACGCAGGCCACCAGGCTGGACTAGATGCCCTCTGGAGACCCTTCTCCCTTCATCGGACCTGGCCAGATTTGGGGAGATGGGTAATTTTGGATGGACTTGTCATATTGCAGCCACCGAATACTAGTCCAGCATATATGCATATAGATAATATATATATATATACACACACACATGTGCGCACACACACACACACACAGGCCATCTCAAAATTGGTTCTGTAAGTTTGTTCTTAAGTTGAACATGTATGTAAGTCAGAACAGGGACGCTAGTTAAGCCAAACAGAGAGATATATTCTGCCAAAGAGACAGACAGACAGACAGAGAGATGTCAGCTTTGGAACACAGGGAAGGGGGAACCCCCCGCTGGGGTGTGTTTTGAGGAATCCATTTGCAGTGATCCCGGCCGTCCTTTCCAAGGGATTCAAGGCCACCTCCTTCGGGATCCGCTCCGGGATCCTTCCCAGCCTTGGCCTCAGGCGGACTGGACATTGGCCATTGTTTGGCCCCCCTTCCTTCCTTCTGTCTTGTCTTCCCTTTCCTCCCTTGAGGATCGGGACCCCCTTGCCCCCCCCTCTGCTGGGACGCTTCTGCTCCCCAAGAATCCCAGGATGAACTAATCAGGCACGAGGACTCACAGGCAGCGTAAACACATCTATTGCATCCCGTTTTGGAGAGAGTCCCTGAAATGCCTGCCGTGGGGATGGAGTCCTGAGGGCCAGGCCACGGTCCCTCTGTGCCAACGCTGCCGCTCCTGGAGAGGGGTCCGGAGCCGAGGGGGGGGGGGAACGGAGAGCCCCCCCTCTTTCCTTCTTCTCCCTGGGCGGAGGGGCTAGGGCTCCAGCATCTGCTCGCAGGTCCTTGAGAGCTCCCCCAGCTTGACCTGCGCGTAGTCCACCCGCTTGAGGGCCATCTGGCAGTCCTTGCGCGAAGAGTAGCTGGACCCCTCGTGGGGCTGCCCCGTGGCCACCTGCGCATGGGAGAGAGAGAGAGGGAGTGGGGGGGGGGTACGATGTGGGATCTGCGAGGGGGAGGGGCCCCCAAAGGCCGCCCAGCCCAGCCCCCAATACAAGCCCTCCCAATGGATGGCCAGCCAGCCATAGACAGGAGGCATCTACTTGGGAGAGATTCCTAGAGAGAGGATACGGATGGCCACTCAGCCGCAGACAGGGTTGGGAGACATGCCATAGAGTCCTAGAAGGGCCCCCAAAGGCCACCCAGCCCAGCCCCCTTCCACCAGGCCAGGCAGGAAGGCGCAACCCAAGCCCTCCCGACAGACGGCCGTTCTGTCACAAATAGGCTTGATACAATGGGAGAGGGATCTGTCTGAGATGGGCATATAGCCCCGCCCACCAGCCCCTGGCCCCGCCTCCAAATCATAGCCCCGCCCCTGACTCCGCCTCGCTGGAGTCCCTGGCTCCACCTCCAAGCCCATAGCCCCGCCCCCAGCCCTGGCCCCGCCCCCGTGCGACGATGGCCCCGCCTCTTTACCTGTGTGAGGTACCGTATCTGTGCGGAGAGCTCGGACTCGACCTTCTGGACGGAGGCCACGAACTGGGCGGCCTGGATGGGTATATAGCCCCGCCCACTAGGCCATGACCCCGCCCACCTGTCCCTGGCTCCGCCTCCAAGCCCATAGCCCCGCCCCCAGCCCTGGCCCCGCCCCCGCGCGACGATGGCCCCGCCTCTTCACCTGTGTGAGGTACCGTATCTGTGCGGAGAGCTCGGACTCGACCTTCTGGACGGAGGCCACGAACTGGGCGGCCTGGATGGGTATATAGCCCCGCCCACTAGGCCATGACCCCGCCCACCTGTCCCTGGCTCCGCCTCCAAGCCCATAGCCCCGCCCCCAGCCCTGGCCCCGCCCCCGTGCGACGATGGCCCCGCCTCTTTACCTGTGTGAGGTACCGTATCTGTGCGGAGAGCTCGGACTCGACCTTCTGGACGGAGGCCACGAACTGGGCGGCCTGGATGGGTATATAGCCCCGCCCACTAGGCCATGACCCCGCCCACCTGTCCCTGGCTCCGCCTCCAAGCCCATAGCCCCGCCCCCAGCCCTGGCCCCGCCCCCGTGCGACGATGGCCCCGCCTCTTTACCTGTGTGAGGTACCGTATCTGTGCGGAGAGCTCGGACTCGACCTTCTGGACGGAGGCCACGAACTGGGCGGCCTGGCGGTCCAGCAGGCGCTCGTTGGGCTTCTCCTTGGACAGCTCCAGGATCACCGTGCCTGCGGGAGAGGGAAGGAGGGCGTCGGACTACACTTCCCAGGAGGCACTGCGCCCCGCCCGGGGGCTTCTGGGAGATGTAGTCCGAGGGAGGGAGGGAGGGAGGGAGGGAGGGAATGGCCGCGCTGACTGACCCGCGCTCTGCAGCGCCGCCCCGATCTCCCGCTCCAGCTCTTCCAGGATCCGGAGGCGCTCGTTGGCCAAGCCCAGCCCGTAGCCACTCGCCCCGCTCGCCCCTCCGCCGCCGCCTCCTCCGCTCGCCGTCGCCATGCTGTGACCCTCGCCGCGCCCCGTAGCACGCCTCCCTCCCGCCCTGGAGAAGAGAAGCGCGCATGCGCAGAAGAGAGCCCTTCCCCTCGCCCACCCTCCCTGTGCGCATGCGCCGCCGCTCTTAAAGGGCCCGCCCGGAGGTTAAGAGGAGGAGGAGGAGGATGAAGCCGAGCGGAGCGTGGCGGCAGCACGTGCGGGCGGAGCTGCGGAGGCGGGAGGGGCGCGCCGCCGGGTGGAGGGCGGCGCTGCAGCGACGTGAGCGCGCACGAGCATGTGCAGAGTGCGGGGGGAGGGGAGGGGGGAGTATGGAGCCTCGCTTCCGGGACAAGGCCCCGCCCACTCGGGTCTCTGGCCCCGCCCCCAGCACGGCCATTGGCCCCGCCCCTCGGCCCAGGCCCCGCCCCCAAGCCCCTTCTCCTCGTTGTTGTTGCAGATGAGCGGCTGGAGGAGAGGCTGGAGGCCCAGCAGGCGCAGCTGGCGGAGGGGCTGCTCCACGCCGGAGGAGAACGAGGAGGAGGCGGGCCCCGCAGGTAGGTAGGCAGGCGCCCCTCTCCGCATCCTCAGGATGGAGACCCACCTGTGCCTAGGGAGGAGATCTGGGGGGGTGCTGCCTGGCCCCATCATGCCCGCCCCCCCCCACTTTGGGGTCCCGAGGAGGGCCCATCGCCGCTCTCCCCCACCTGGTGGTCTCCAGCATCTCCCCCAAAGCGCAGCTGGCCCAGGGGCTGCTCCACGCCGGAGGAGAACGAGGAGAACGAGGAGGAGGCGGGCCCCGCAGGTAGGTAGGTAGGTAGGTAGGTAGGTGCCCCTCTCCGCCTCCTCAGGAGGAGACCCACCTGGGCCTAGGTAGGAGATCTGGGGGGGTGCTGCCTGGCCCCATCATGCCCCCCCCACCCCACTTTGGGGTCCCGAGGAGGGCCCATCGCCGCTCCCCCACCTGGTGGTCTCCAGCATCTCCCCCAAAGCGCAGCTGGCCCAGGGGCTGCTCCACGCCGGAGGAGAACGAGGAGAACGAGGAGGAGGCGGGCCCCGCAGGTAGGTAGGTAGGTAGGTAGGTAGGTGCCCCTCTCCGCCTCCTCAGGAGGAGACCCACCTGGGCCTAGGTAGGAGATCTGGGGGGGTGCTGCCTGGCCCCATCATGCCCCCCCCACCCCCCTACTTTGGGGTCCCGAGGAGGGCCCATCGCCGCTCCCTCCCGCCTGGTGGTCTCCAGCATCTCCCCCAAAGCGCAGCTGGCCCAGGGGCTGCTCCACGCCGGAGGAGAACGAGGAGAACGAGGAGGAGGCGGGCCCCGCAGGTAGGTAGGTAGGTAGGTAGGTAGGTGCCCCTCTCCGCCTCCTCAGGAGGAGACCCACCTGGGCCTAGGTAGGAGATCTGGGGGGGTGCTGCCTGGCCCCATCATGCCCCCCCCACCCCCCCACTTTGGGGTCCCGAGGAGGGCCCATCGCCGCTCTCCCCCACCTGGTGGTCTCCAGCATCTCCCCCAAAGCGCAGCTGGCCCAGGGGCTGCTCCACGCCGGAGGAGAACGAGGAGAACGAGGAGGAGGCGGGCCCCGCAGGTAGGTAGGTAGGTAGGTAGGTAGGTGCCCCTCTCCGCCTCCTCAGGAGGAGACCCACCTGGGCCTAGGTAGGAGATCTGGGGGGGTGCTGCCTGGCCCCATCATGCCCCCCCCCCCCACTTTGGGGTCCCGAGGAGGGCCCATCGCCGCTCTCCCCCACCTGGTGGTCTCCAGCATCTCCCCCAAAGCGCAGCTGGCCCAGGGGCTGCTCCACGCCGGAGGAGAACGAGGAGGAGGAGGAGGAGGCGGGCCCCGCAGGTAGGTAGGTAGGTAGGTAGGTAGGTAGGTGCCCCTCTCCACCTCCTCAGGAGGAGACCCACCTGGGCCTAGGTAGGAGATCTGGGGGGGTGCTGCCTGGCCCCATCATGCCCCCCCCACCCCACTTTGGGGTCCCGAGGAGGGCCCATCGCCGCTCCCTCCCGGCCGGTGGTCTCCAGCATCTCCCCCAAAGCGCAGCTGGCCCAGGGGCTGCTCCATGCCGGAGGAGAACGAGGAGGAGGAGGAGGAGGCGGGCCCCGCAGGTAGGTAGGTAGGTAGGTAGGTAGGTAGGTGCCCCTCTCCACCTCCTCAGGAGGAGACCCACCTGGGCCTAGGTAGGAGATCTGGGGGGGTGCTGCCTGGCCCCATCATGCCCCCCCCACCCCACTTTGGGGTCCCGAGGAGGGCCCATCGCCGCTCCCTCCCGGCCGGTGGTCTCCAGCATCTCCCCCAAAGCGCAGCTGGCCCAGGGGCTGCTCCATGCCGGAGGAGAACGAGGAGGAGGAGGAGGAGGCGGGCCCCGCAGGTAGGTAGGTAGGTAGGTAGGTAGGTAGGTGCCCCTCTCCACCTCCTCAGGAGGAGACCCACCTGGGCCTAGGTAGGAGATCTGGGGGGGTGCTGCCTGGCCCCATCATGCCCCCCCCACCCCACTTTGGGGTCCCGAGGAGGGCCCATCGCCGCTCCCTCCCGGCCGGTGGTCTCCAGCATCTCCCCCAAAGCGCAGCTGGCCCAGGGGCTGCTCCATGCCGGAGGAGAACGAGGAGGAGGAGGAGGAGGCGGGCCCCGCAGGTAGGTAGGTAGGTAGGTAGGTAGGTGCCCCTCTCCGCCTCCTCAGGAGGAGACCCACCTGGGCCTAGGTAGGAGATCTGGGGGGGTGCTGCCTGGCCCCATCATGCCCCCCCCACCCCACTTTGGGGTCCCGAGGAGGGCCCATCGCCGCTCCCTCCCGGCCGGTGGTCTCCAGCATCTCCCCCAAAGCGCAGCTGGCCCAGGGGCTGCTCCACGCCGGAGGAGAACGAGGAGAACGAGGAGGAGGCGGGCCCCGCAGGTAGGTAGGTAGGTAGGTAGGTAGGTGCCCCTCTCCGCCTCCTCAGGAGGAGACCCACCTGGGCCTAGGTAGGAGATCTGGGGGGGTGCTGCCTGGCCCCATCATGCCCCCCCCACCCCCCCACTTTGGGGTCCCGAGGAGGGCCCATCGCCGCTCTCCCCCACCTGGTGGTCTCCAGCATCTCCCCCAAAGCGCAGCTGGCCCAGGGGCTGCTCCACGCCGGAGGAGAACGAGGAGAACGAGGAGGAGGCGGGCCCCGCAGGTAGGTAGGTAGGTAGGTAGGTAGGTGCCCCTCTCCGCCTCCTCAGGAGGAGACCCACCTGGGCCTAGGTAGGAGATCTGGGGGGGTGCTGCCTGGCCCCATCATGCCCCCCCCACCCCCCCACTTTGGGGTCCCGAGGAGGGCCCATCGCCGCTCTCCCCCACCTGGTGGTCTCCAGCATCTCCCCCAAAGCGCAGCTGGCCCAGGGGCTGCTCCACGCCGGAGGAGAACGAGGAGAACGAGGAGGAGGCGGGCCCCGCAGGTAGGTAGGTAGGTAGGTAGGTAGGTGCCCCTCTCCGCCTCCTCAGGAGGAGACCCACCTGGGCCTAGGTAGGAGATCTGGGGGGGTGCTGCCTGGCCCCATCATGCCCCCCCCACCCCCCTACTTTGGGGTCCCGAGGAGGGCCCATCGCCGCTCTCCCCCACCTGGTGGTCTCCAGCATCTCCCCCAAAGCGCAGCTGGCCCAGGGGCTGCTCCACGCCGGAGGAGAACGAGGAGAACGAGGAGGAGGCGGGCCCCGCAGGTAGGTAGGTAGGTAGGTAGGTAGGTGCCCCTCTCCGCCTCCTCAGGAGGAGACCCACCTGGGCCTAGGTAGGAGATCTGGGGGGGTGCTGCCTGGCCCCATCATGCCCCCCCCACCCCCCCACTTTGGGGTCCCGAGGAGCCCATCGCCGCTCCCTCCCGGCCGGTGGTCTCCAGCATCTCCCCCAAAGCGCAGCTGGCCCAGGGGCTGCTCCACGCCGGAGGAGAACGAGGAGGAGGAGGAGGAGGCGGGCCCCGCAGGTAGGTAGGTAGGTAGGTAGGTAGGTAGGTGCCCCTCTCCACCTCCTCAGGAGGAGACCCACCTGGGCCTAGGTAGGAGATCTGGGGGGGTGCTGCCTGGCCCCATCATGCCCCCCCCACCCCACTTTGGGGTCCCGAGGAGGGCCCATCGCCGCTCCCTCCCGGCCGGTGGTCTCCAGCATCTCCCCCAAAGCGCAGCTGGCCCAGGGGCTGCTCCATGCCGGAGGAGAACGAGGAGGAGGAGGAGGAGGCGGGCCCCGCAGGTAGGTAGGTAGGTAGGTAGGTAGGTAGGTGCCCCTCTCCACCTCCTCAGGAGGAGACCCACCTGGGCCTAGGTAGGAGATCTGGGGGGGTGCTGCCTGGCCCCATCATGCCCCCCCCACCCCACTTTGGGGTCCCGAGGAGGGCCCATCGCCGCTCCCTCCCGGCCGGTGGTCTCCAGCATCTCCCCCAAAGCGCAGCTGGCCCAGGGGCTGCTCCATGCCGGAGGAGAACGAGGAGGAGGAGGAGGAGGCGGGCCCCGCAGGTAGGTAGGTAGGTAGGTAGGTAGGTAGGTGCCCCTCTCCACCTCCTCAGGAGGAGACCCACCTGGGCCTAGGTAGGAGATCTGGGGGGGTGCTGCCTGGCCCCATCATGCCCCCCCCACCCCACTTTGGGGTCCCGAGGAGGGCCCATCGCCGCTCCCTCCCGGCCGGTGGTCTCCAGCATCTCCCCCAAAGCGCAGCTGGCCCAGGGGCTGCTCCATGCCGGAGGAGAACGAGGAGGAGGAGGAGGAGGCGGGCCCCGCAGGTAGGTAGGTAGGTAGGTAGGTAGGTGCCCCTCTCCGCCTCCTCAGGAGGAGACCCACCTGGGCCTAGGTAGGAGATCTGGGGGGGTGCTGCCTGGCCCCATCATGCCCCCCCCACCCCACTTTGGGGTCCCGAGGAGGGCCCATCGCCGCTCCCTCCCGGCCGGTGGTCTCCAGCATCTCCCCCAAAGCGCAGCTGGCCCAGGGGCTGCTCCATGCCGGAGGAGAACGAGGAGGAGGAGGAGGAGGCGGGCCCCGCAGGTAGGTAGGTAGGTAGGTAGGTAGGTAGGTGCCCCTCTCCACCTCCTCAGGAGGAGACCCACCTGGGCCTAGGTAGGAGATCTGGGAAGGAAGGAAGGAAGGAAGGAAGGAAGGCTGGAGAAAAGGCTTCTTCGGGGGAGACCGATTCTGCCCGGAGACCGGAGACGTCAAAGAGGAAGGCGAACTCCCATTGGCGGATCTCGGGCCTTAGGAAGGGAAGAAAAGAAAGAAGGAGAGCCTCTCTGTTTTTCCCTCGTGCCTGTCTCTCTCCTGGGCGGGAGGAAGGCAAGAGAGGAAGCCAAGCAGGGCGAGTCCCTCCCTCCCTCCCTCACTTCCGGAGGAGGAAGGAAGGAAGGAAGGAGGAGGGCGCCTCACACAGAGAGAGAGAGAGAGAGAGGAAGAGAGATTTGTTTGTTTTTTTGTTTACTTTATTTGTATACGGCTCTTCTCAGCCCTTAGGCGACTCAGAGCGGTTTACAACAGTTTAGGTATACACAATACAAAATCATTAAGCATTTAAAAGCAATAGCATCACAAATCATTAAACATCAATATCAATACCTCACTACATCAATATAACAAATCCATCAGGTCTCATCCATGAAATCAGAATCCAAACTCGTTATCCGATATTCCGTGTTCTGATAGTCAATCAATCACACTTAGTCGAATGCCTGTTCAAACAGCCAGGTCTTTACTTTCCTCCGGAATGCCAGCAAGGAAAGGGTCGATCTAATATCTGCAGGAAGGGCGTTCCACAGTCAAGGGGCCACCACTGAGAAGGCCCTGTCTCTCGTCCCCGCCAGGCGTGCTTGTGAAGCCGGCGGGATCGAGAGCAGGGCCTCCCCAGACGATCTTAATGTCCTAACTGGTTCATAGGAGGAGACGCGTTCCGACAGGTAGGTCGTGCCAGAACCGTATAGGGCTTTAAAGGCTAAAGCCAGCACTTTGAATTGTGCCCGGTAGCAAATTGGCAGCCAGTGGAGCTGGCGCAGCAGAGGAGTGGTATGCTCCCTGAGTGCCGCTCCTGTTAACAACCTGGCTGCCGATCGTTGGACCATTTGAAGCTTCCGAGCAGTCTTCAGAGGCAACCCCACGTAGAGAGCGTTGCAGTAGTCTAAACGGGATGTGACTAGAGCATGGACTACCGTCATGCCGGCGGGCGCCATGGGGCCTGCTTTCCCCTCGGACTCCTGCCTCAGGATCCCGGGCTTGGGGTCTCCTCCTCCTGCTCCTCCTCCTCCTTCTTGGCCCTTTGGTCACAGCTCTGCCCCTGCCCTCTCAGAGGCCTCCTCCTCCTCCTCCTCCTTCGCTCTGGTTACATCCCGTTTAGACTACTGCAACGCTCTCTACGTGGGGTTGCCATTGAAGACGGCTCGGAANGGGGGGGTCCCGGACTCCGCCTTAGAGCTGGGAGCCCAGGTGAGCAGGCCTGCCTTTGCACCACTAACACTCGCGCGCCAGCTGCGCCGTTCCTGGAGAAATCTGACTGGGCCACACTGGTGCACGCACTGGTGGCATCCCAGTTGGACTACTGCAACGTGCTCTATGTGGGACCACCCTTGAAAAGTGTCCCGAGACTGCAGTTGGTTCAGCGCAGGGCAGCCAGGCCACTTACTGGAGCCGATGCCCGGGAGGGAGCGCACCCCTTCCTTCCCCCTCCAAGGCGCCCCACTGGCGGCCCCCCATCACCTTCCGGATCCAGGAGACTTGAGGCATCGCGTCCTCCTTACAAGCTGGACAGACTTCTCAGGCCGAGCAGCGAAACGCTCCTTCCTCCCCACCCAGTTCAGCGCCAGTCTTAAAACTGCCTGGAGACGGCACCTTCTCAGGAGTGGCCCCAAAACGCTGGAACACTCTGCCAGGTGCAATCAGAACAGCCCCCCCCACGCACCCCCCCCTCTTGGCCTTGAGGAGAATAACTTTGGGGAATACCTTTTAATTAATGGTGACAGAAGCAGAAGGCGCCGGAAAGACCACGGAATGGGGCGGAGTGAGGAAATGTGGAAGGCGTGTTGAGTCAGCCTGAGCGTCTCTTTGCAGGGACCCCGGCGCCTTGGACCTGGCCGCTCTCCACCTCCAGCTGCAGATGGACGTGGCCCAGCTCCGGCAGGAAAGAGAAGAGGTGATCACGGGACTGGGCTGGTATTAATGCAACTGGCTCAAAGCTGACTCCCTGCACCCCCCCCACCCCCCCCCCCGCGCCCCTAATATGAGTGTTTTCCTCCCCTTCTCCAGCTGCGCCAACAGGTCGCCTTCCTGGCAGAAGCCCTGAGGGAGGCCGAGGCCGAGAACCAGGAGCAGCGGGCCAGGTACCCTCGCGTAGACGTAATCGTAGTCAGAAGGATCCTAATCGGGGTGGGCTGGGTGGCCTCGTGGGGTCCCTTCCACCAGTATGAGTCTAATGTTAAAATTAACCGTATTAATAATAAAGGGTAATAATACAATAGCAGAAGGGGTTGGACTGGATAATAATATACAATATAATAGTACTAGTAAATATAATAATAGTAATAATACTCTACTGATGCTTCTAGTCTCCCGGGGCCTTGGGAAGAGCCCAATAGGCAGAGATGAAGCCCAGGCACTTGGACCTCATGTGCATGCGTGCTGTGTGATGTTATGCACATGCAATATAACAATAATAATAATAACATATAATAGTCTTTTCTAATCTAATAATACCCTTAATATCCCAGGCCCTTAGGAAGAGTATTCTGATATTCAGAGACGAGTCTCAGGCACTTGCACCTAATGCGCATTATCGTTATTATTTATATCTTGCTTTGTATTGGGGTCCCTCCCACCTGTAGGAATATACTACTAGTCGTAATAATGGATAACGAGCATGGTTATTGTGTTGTGCAGGATGGGGCGCCTGGCGCAGGAGGCGTCGTCCTTGGGGCGCGAGTTCGAGGAGGCGCAGTGCAAGGCGTGGTCGCTGCGCAGAGAGGCGGAGGGGCTGCGCGCGGAGCTGAGTGGGGCGCGGGCGCTGCTGCGAGAGGCCCGGCGGGAGCGCATGGAGCTGGAGGCCCGCTGGGTGCAGGAGAAGGCCCTCGAGGCACAGCGCCTCAATGGGGCCAACCGCCGCCAGGAGAAGTGAGTCGGGGGGGGGCGCCCGGGAGGGGGAGAGAGCGGGGCCCGCAAGGCCAGGTCAAGGCAGGTACAGCACACCTGCGAGGGAGGGAGGGGGGGACGGTACACATCTGCCTCCAGTGGGGCTAATAGATCAGGAGCAAGATCAGGTATTTGGGAAATGGATCAAAGAGGCAAAACAGAATGGAGTAACAACCAATGGTCACGTGAGACCGTTGTGGGCCTTCAGGTTGCTTCAGTGGGCTGTGAGGTTTTGGAAAGGAAGATGACGGACCGTGGGATGCGGGTTGCTATTTTCGATGAATGTAATTGTGGATTCTTTTAAATTTATGTTTCATGTTTGGATTTATTATTTATTTATTTAAAAGTTTTGTATCCCGGCCTTCTCACGTCTCTTGAGGGACTCAGACTGGTTTCCAACCACAATATCACATCCAATCAATAAAACACCATAATTCATATTGCAGTAAAACATTAAAACAGCAGTTACAATCAATACCTATAATGGTCAGTCATCACACTAAAATCGTTGCTCCTCATCCTCCATCCATATCTCAGGGTGTTGGCTCACTTGTCGAATGCATGTCTCCATAACCAAGTCTTCACCTGGATGTGAGATGTAACTTGATTGACAGGTTGTGTTATTATTTAAGCCGGGCCAGATGGGCCAAACTCTCGGGCTAATTTTCAGTCCTATAGAGACTTTGAACGGCACATTGGACCACCTGCTTGCTCCCCTGCCCCTTGCTGCAAAGCCCCCCCCCCACCACCACCACCACCACCATGTCTGCCCTGGAGGGGGAGGGAAAGGCGAGGCTGGCCTGGGCTCAAGGAGGGGAGGGGTTCTGGGGGGGGGGCGGGGGGGGGTGAGATGTGAGGCGGCCCGGTCAGGACTTCAGAAGGCCAAAGGTTTATTTATTTATTATTTCCCGTATTTCTGCCCGGTCCTTATCCCACTCCCCGAAGGGGGACTCAGGACGGCTTACACTTGGCAGTAATTCGACCCCCCCCACAGGCCACGTAGTTTCCACCCCCAGCCACACACGCAGATGCAAAGAGGAGGCATTGGGAGAACAGTCCTCCAAGGAGATTCCCCAGCCAGACACGCGAGAGTCCAAACGGAAGAGAGGGAGGCGGGAAGCCTCGGCGGCCCTCAAAGCCCCCGGAAGCCAGTACCCCCCCCCCTTCCCTTTATTCCTCCCGTGTCCTGATTACATTCAGGGATCATCTAAGCACTGTGAGATACTGCAAGATACTCCACTTTGGCAGGAAAAACGAAATGCAAAGATACAGAATGGGGGACAATGCCTGGCTCGAGAGCAGTACGTGTGAAAAAGATCTTGGAGTCCTCATGGACAACAAGTTAAACATGAGCCAGGAATGTGATGTGGCGGCAAAAAAAGCCAATGGGATTTTGGCCTGCATCAAGAGGAGCATAGCGTCTAGATCTAGGGAAGTCATGCTCCATGCTCTCTTCCGCTTTGGTTAGACCACTTTACCTGGAATATTGTGTCCAATTCTGGGCACCACAATTCAAGAGAGATATTGACACTAAGCTGGAATGTGTCCAGAGGAGGGCGACTAAAATGATCAAGGGTCTGGAGAACAAGCCCTATGAGGAGCGGCTTAGGGAACTGGGCATGTTTAGCCTGAAGAAGAGAAGGCTGAGAGGAGATATGATAGCCATGTAGAAATATGTGAGAGGAAGCCACAGGGAGGAGGAGGGAGCAAGCTTCCTTTCTGCTTCCCTGGAGACTAGGACGCAATGGAACAATGGCTTCAAACTACAAGAGAGGAGATTCCATCTGAACATGAGGAAGAACTTCATGAGCGTTCAGCAGTGGAACTCTCTGCCCTGGAGTGTGGTGGAGGCTCCTTCTTTGGAGCTTTTAAACAGAGGCTGGATGGCCATCTGTCAGGGGTGCTTTGAATGCAATATTCCTGCTTCTTGGCAGAAGGGGGTTGGACTGGATGATGGCCCAGGAGGTCTCTTCCCACTCTTTGATTCTAGGATTCTATGTGAGGAGACTGTGGGCGCCCAGGCCTGTCCTGTCAAAATGGGGAGCCAAAGCCAGGAGGGTTTTTCGCAGACCCATATATTCAACCCCTTAGAACTGGCCTTGGGCCAAGACCCTTGAGCCAACAGACCCCCCCCCCTCCCCCCCGCAGGCAGCGACCCACACTTCCCGGCCCTGGTGTGTGCGCACTCGCAGAAGGGAGCTCATGTACATTCAGCCTCGGTTTCCCCTTGACATCAAGTCTAGTCGTGACGGACTCCGGGGCTCGTCTCCGTTTCTAAGCCAAAGAGCCGGCGTTGTCCATAGGCACCTCCTGGGTCATGTGGCCACCGGCAGGACTGCATGGAGCACCGTTTACCTTCCTGCCAAAGCGGAACCTATTGATCTGCTCAGATTGGCATGTCTGCAAACTCCTGGGTGGCCTAATGTTATTCTAACCCTAAATGGTTCAGGCCCTGCATATCTCCGCGATCTCCTCTCCTTCTAGGAACCGGCACGAGCTCTAAGATCTTCCAGGGAGGGAGGCCCTCCTCTCGGTCCCACTACCGTCTCAAGCGCGGTTGGTGGGGATGAAAGAGAGGGCCTTCTTGGTGGTGGCCCCCCACCTCTGGAACACCCTTCCAAGGGAAATAAGACCGGCCCCATCCCTCCCCTCCTTTCGTAAGAGCTTGAAGACCTGGAGGTTTCAACCAGCCTTTGAAAACGACCAGTTCTAGCTCAGCCCCACATATTGTCGAATGCGGCCTTATCCTTCCTGCCAGTTACCCAGATCATTTCCTCTAATTGGCCCTCATATTATGGTTGCCGGCCATAGCATTGCACTTAATTCCCAGGCCCCCTAGAATTTTTGGGCTTGCACAAATCTTGGCCCAGCCTTTTAAATTTTTAATTGCCTTGAACAGGCAGGATTACTTTTAATAGACGTGTGTTGTGGCCAAAATTTCTATGCTTATATTTTGTTTTGTTAATCTGATGGTTAGGTCCTTGTGGTTTTTTTCGGGCTCTAGGGCCATGTTCTAGAGGCATTTCTCCTGACGTTTCGCCTGCATCTATGGCAAGCATCCTCAGAGGTAGTGAGGTCTGTTGGAATTAGGACAATGGGTTTATATATCTGTGGAATGGCCGGGGTGGGGCAAAGAGCTCTTCTCTGCTGGAGCTAGGTGTGAATGTTTCAACTGACCACCTTCATTAGCATTTGAAGGCCTGCCTGAGGCTGGGAAAACCTTTTGTTGAGAGGTGTTCAGATGTGCATGGTTGTTTCCTCTCTGCTGTTTTGCTGTTGTAATTTTAGATTTCTTTCAATACTGGTAGCCAGATCTTGTTCATTTTCATGGTCTCTTCCTTCCTTCAAATGCTAATGAAGGTGGTCAGTTGAAACAGTCACACCTAACTCCAGCAGAGAAGAGCTCTTTATTTATTTATTTATTTATTTAATTTGTATGCCGCACTCTCTCAGCCCGTAGGCGACTCAGTGCGGTTTACAACCAGGTCAATATACAAAGTGCACAACATTAGCATTAGCATTTAAAAACAGTAACTAGAGCAACTAAATCTTTGCCCCACCCCAGCCATTCCACAGATATATAAACCCTTTGTCCTAATTCCAACAGACCTCACTACCTCTGAGGATGCTTGCCATAGATGCAGGCGAAACGTCAGGAGAAAATGCCTCTAGAACATGGCCCTACAGCCCGAAAAAACCCACAAGAACCTAGTGATTCCAGCCATGAAAGCCTTCGACAATACAATCTTATGGGTTTTTTTTTTTACCTTGTATGTTTTGTGATGTTACCTGGGAACCGCTCTGTGTCCCCTCGGGGAGATGGAGCCGTATAGAAAGGAAGTTTTTTTTTTTTTATTATTATTATTATTATTATTATTATTATTAATCACCAAGGGGTTCCCTCACCGGCTCCCCGGCCCCTTCCTCCTCAGGTACCAGCGAAAGGTGACCCTCCTCCAGGAGACGTTGGAGCGGATGAGGGAGGCCTCTGCTGCCGCCACCGGAGAGTGAGCCCCGTCTTGGGTGGGGGGGGGGTCTTCCTGGCCGTGGCGCAGACCGGAGGGAGGGTGGTCCGACTGACCTCCTGACCCCGGCCCCTCCAGCAATGGGAGGCAGCTGGGACATCCCTCATGGGTCCTGGGGGTGGGGGGGGCTCCCTCCCAGCCAGCGAAGCCCCTCCCCCTCCCCCCCCCAAAGATGGTGGGCTTGCACCCCGATGATCCCGCTCTGGCTTTCCTTCCCACAGCGCTGACGGGACGGAGGAAGGGGCGCCTGCAAAGGGAAGCAGCTTGAGCTCGTCCAGCGAAGAAGCAGAAATGGTAGGCCGGAAGCGCTGGAGGGCGGTCAGTCTTCAGGGGGGCTGGAGGGGGGCAGGGGGGGCACCTGGCCCCACAGAGCCCTGAAGGGGGGGGGGGAAGAAGGGGGGCGGAGAAGCCCTTGCCACCCGGGGCCCTGCTCCCACCTTTCCTTTCTTCTTCTGTCTATTAGGACACCGGAGGAGGGTGCGGCGGCGGTCAAGCAGAAGGGAGGCCCCCCAGCCCCCTTCCCCTCCCGGCAGGAGCAGAGGCAGGTGAGGGGCTACCGCCAAAGAGGGGAGGGGGCAGAAAGAAAGGGGCGGACTAGATGGCCTTTGGGAGCCCCCCCCCAACATTAGTGGCATAGGGAGCCTGGTGGAGCCTCCCTCTCTGGGGGTTTATCATCAGTGGCTTGATGGCCATCTGTCAGGAGGGTTTGGATGGTGCCTGGCGGAATGAAAGGGGCTGGATTGGATGGCCTTGAGGGCTCCCTCCTAACTCTAGGATTCTAAGATAAGGGAGACTTCTCAAGTAAAGTAGGGTTTGTATGGCCACCTGTCGGGAGGGCTTAGATGGGGAGGGGTTGGACTGCATGGTCTTTGGGGGTCCCCTCCAACATTCGTGTAATAGGGACTCCTTGAGTCTCCTTGTCTAGAGTCTTTCATCAGAGGATGGGTGGCCCTCTGTCAGGAGGGTTCGTCTGTTGCCTTCCTGCCTGGCGGAATGGGGGGGGGGGCTGGTTGGCCTTTGGGGCCCCCTCCCAGGAGTCTGACCCACTTCTCTTTTCTGCAGGGAGATCCTGACTGAGCTGACTGACTGACTGACTGACTGAATGGACTGGCAGCCCACCTCAAGGAGCTGGACACTGACCACAGGAGAGCCAAGTTGACCTCTGACCCCAGGATCAGGGAGAGAAAGGGGGGGGGTCACATGTTGCCTTGGGCTTCAGGGTAGGCGGTCACTTCTCCTTGCAGCCGGGCCAAAAGGGCAGTGCCGTCTGACCAGAGATAGGTCAGGGAGGTCAGCGCTGGCCAGACTGACCCCAGAGCTCCATTCACTGGCCGAAGGGGGCCCGGCTGTGCTCGCGGGGCGCCCCCCCCCTCCCCCTCCCCCCCCCCCCCGAGAAGCGTCCATTAAAGCAAACCAGGCCGAGCATCAGCGCATCATGTGGCTGGAACCGTTTTATTCCGTGTGTTTGATTCCGTTTCCCTCTCTTGGTCTTCCCTCCCCTTCCCCTCCTTCTTCCTCCTTCCTTCCTCTTCCTTCCTTCCTTTTTTGGCCAGGGAGGGGCTGACGTCTTGGGGGGAAAGGGTGGGGGTCTCCAGGGTAAAAAGGTCCCGATTGCCACAGGACGCCCCCCTCCCCCCTCCTTATTTGTTTACAGGCCTTGACCCTTGACCCCGGCTGGACGGCAGGAAGGGAGGGGGGAGGGAGGGCTAAAATGGGCTAAAATGGGGGGTGGGGTCTCCCATGGACAGAACGCCCCCGCCCCCCCTGCAAAATGGCTTCTAAGGCAACCGGAGGCTTCTTTGCCCCCCCCTGACAGTGGGGAGGGGGCTTCATTCCCGACACAAACCCGTTAAAACAGCGTTCCTTAAAACGAGGCGTTTACAAACCCGAGGCGGCGGTGAAGTTAAAAGAAGACACGTAATGCCCAACCAATGGATGGATCCAGTGCGTCAGACTCGGGGAGGGGAAACTGGGGAGGGGGCGACGACGAGGAGACACAAAAGTGGGGGGGGGGGGGCGCAGTGAAAGGTTAAAGTTCATCTGGGAAAATACACAGCGGGGGTGACGGCGGCGGCAGCAGCAGAGGGGAGGCAGCAGGCGGAAGAGGGAGCGCGGGAAGGAAGGAAGCCCCCTCCCCACTTTAGTCACATTAAAAGCCCCCTGAAGGGGTCACGCCCCCCTCAAAGACACAGGAAGCTGGGAATGGGGAGGGGCGTGGGGGGGAGGGTCTCCGGCAAGACATTCTCTGACCGACCGAGGAGGAGGGGGGCTCCCTCTCCCTGGCCTCCCCCCTCCCCTCTTTTGGCTGGTCCCCAATGCCCCCCCTTTTCGGGGGGGAGGGGTTTCCTCGCGGCCGTCCTAGCAGAAGTGGTCGTCGTCCTCCTTGTCGTCCTTCAGGCCCTTCAGCCGCAGGCGCGCAAAGTCCTCGAAGACAATGTCGTCGTCCTGGCCGTAGCTGCGCGTGGTTTGGAGGGAAAAAGAGAAGAGGCGTTGGCGTGGCGCGCGCACAGAGAGGGGCCGCACAGGGGAGGCCCAGGCAGACCCCCCCCCCCCCCCCCACATCCCTATGGAAGGGGCTCCGGGCATTTCCAATGGGGCCAACATGACAAATAGAGTTATGGGGCACTGGGAGTTTTCTGGGTGGTTACGGCCATGTTTCCGTAGCATTCTCTCCTCGTGTTTCACCTGCATCTGTGGCAAACATCCTCAGAGGTTCTGTTGGAAGTGAGGCAAGTGGAGTGTATGTGTATACTCATACCTGTGGAATAATGTGTCTGTTTGAAATGTGTGAATGTTGCAATTAACCAGCTTGAATAGCATGGAGTCGCCTTGCAGCGGCAATGCCAATCAGGAAGGGTCTCGGCATAGAGGTCGCCTGGCCGTAGTTGCCTGGGAGCATCCTCTGAGGTTCGTTCTGAGGTCTGTTGGCAGTGACGTGTGTGTATGTGTGTGTGTGTGGGATGATGTCCAGGGTGGGAGAAAGACCCCTTGTCTGTTGGAAGCAAGTGTGGATGTTGCCACGAGCCAGCTTGGATTAGCATGCAGTAACCATGAAGTCAGTCAGGGAGGGTGTCTGCACAAGAGGCAGCCTGGCTGTTGTTGCCTGGGAGCATCCTTGGTTTGGGAGGTGTGTGCTGGCCCCTGACTGTTTGCTGTCTGGAATCCCCGAGGAAAGCAATCCCTTCGAAGGGCCAACGGGGATCATGTGACCAATGGACTGGTCACTTTTGGGGTTATTTGTATTCATGGGCCTGCCTCTGCGGTGTCGCGATGGCCCCTTCCTTGGGCCGTTCTCCCTCCCAGGCGGGCCCAGCGGTGCCTGGCTGTTCCGTCACGCCCGTGTTTCCCAACCTGTGTGACTCTCTCCCCAGATGTCTTTGGCCTTCTACTCCAGAAATCCTAACAGCTGGTGAACTGGCTGGGATTCCTGGGAGTTGTAGGCCAAAAACACCTGGGGAGCCACACAGGGTGAGAACCACTGCGTTACGCCATGTAACACCACTTGGCAAATGTCCTGTTTCTGGTCCGAAAGGGTTGTTTCCGGTTTAATTGTGCGGTCCTTCCTTTGGAAGTCGTTGTTCCGCCCTAGAAACTTTGTTTTCCTGCCATTTATTTGACTCTAGTGCAGGTATGGACCAACTTTGGCCCTCTTCCAGGAGTCTTGGGCTAAAGCTCCCACAATTCCCAACAGCCTACAAGCCGTTAGGAATTGTGGGAGTTGCAGTCCGAAACGCCTGGAAGGAGGGCCCGAGTTGGCCCCTGCCTGCTCTGATGCGCCGTGCCGTGGTTCAATGCGATGGAGTCATGCGGGCTGTCGTTCTGCAAGGCGGAGAGCCCTCCCTACCAAAGGAATGCGGGTGCTTCCCCAGACTACAAATCCCAGCACTGCATAGCATTGATCCATGGGAACTGAATGAGAGAGGATGTCCCTCAGAGACAAGCTCTGGAAGTCGCTTCCGCTTTGGCTCGGCAGTAATGTGACCGTATTACACAAATCTCAGGCACACCCTGATTTTGGTGAGGCCGTTCAGTAAATACGGCAGGTTGGAAGGGTTGGGACTCAGTCACAGATTCATTGCAAAACTACCGCAAACCGTGCTCGCTGCAGGGTGTCCCGCCTCAGTTTGTGCAGGCTGACAATCCCCCCCCCCCCATGTCTTGAGGATAGAACCACTTCGGAAATAGTGGCATTGATAACCCAGGAACAACAATCGTGGTGTAACAGAGGGGTGTGTCATGTTCTGCCTCCAGGGTGCAAACTTCCAATGTGAACACGGGTGTCTGCAACCTCCCCAGTGCCCCCCTCCCCAAATATGCAGGGCATAATAGAATAATCCCAGACACTTGGGCCAAATGTGCACATGTGCTGTGTTGTTATGTACATGTCAATAAAATAAGAATAATAATTACTTGGTTTCAAACTCAATGAGGTTGGCGTCCACCGGTGCGTCTGCGTCCGTCTCTGGGGCGGCTGAAGAAGAGAGAGAGAGAGAGAGAGAGAGAGGTGGGGGAGGACATGGTCAGTGCCCCCCCTTTCTCTCCCTCCCCAATGATGCCCCTCCCAAGAGTGAAATGGGGAAGGGGGGCTTGGGCTTCTCGGGAGGAAGTGAGGGCCTTCCCCTCCCTCCTTCCTTTCCCCCCCCCCCAAAGCAATGGTTCAAAGGCCCCCCACTTACTGCTCTGTGGCTGCGGGAGGGAGGCCTGGTCGGGGGGCTTGGGGTGCATGAGGACGAAGGGCAGCTCCACCGAGACGTCACTGTTCGGGGAAAGAAAGGGCCGCGGGTGAACGGAGAGAGAGAGAGAGAGAATGGGGGGGGGGGTCTCGGGACAAAGGTTCTTTTCACGACAGTTTCTGCGCCAGAGGAGCAACTTTTGCACAAAGGACAACATGAGACACATTCTGTCTAACCACAAAGGGACCCCGCATCTACGCAGCATCCACACAACTCGTGTACACATTCATCCACTGCGTGCATGCATGGCTGTTCTGCTGCCGTCTCCCGGAGAAGGACACCTGCGCTCAGGCCAGGAGGCTTCCCTGCACATCCAACACTTTCCCAACACTTTCCCAACACACACAACACTTTCCCACAACACACTCCTTCCCTTCCAACCTGAGATGGCGGCAAATGACCAGGCTTCTGCTTTCAGTGCACGCTGCAGACACGCCATCTCTCTCTCTCTCTCTCTCTCTCTCTCTCTTCCCATGGGGGGGGGGGGGAGGACATGGCAAGTGCTCCAGTCTGCCACAATTTTGGAATATTAGGTGTCTTCTGTGGCAAATCTCTTGCTGGTGTTGCTCCAAAAGTGAAAAATGAGAGGTGTGCCGTTGCGCCTGGGGCTACAGCTCTTAGAGAAAGAAAGAAAGAAAGAAAGAGGCGTGGACGTGGCGCCTTTCCCCAGGGGATTGCTTCCTGCCCTCCTTTAGGGAAACTGGACCTCCCAGAACACAACTGGTAACTCGGAATGGTATTTACGGTTGACAATGAGTTCTCTTTCTTAGGCACAAACTTGATGTTTCCAGAGGGAAAAATACTTTACAAACCCTAAAGTCCAGGGTCCCAGGAGTTACTAGCTGAGCAGCTTTCCCTGTTCCCTCTCTCCCAATGGCCGTGAGGCCAAAACACTCACAACCCCAAGTCCCCACGGCCTATATTCAAAGGACAAGGCCTTCCTCCGGCGCCAAAGGAAATGGCGTGAAGGCGCCTGAGACTTCCCAAGGAACATAAAGCATAAGTCTCAGGGGGAAAAGCCTAAGAACTGGTGGTAAGAAATGACTTGAGCAGGGGCTTTGGGCCAAGCTTTGCGCACGTCCATCTAATGAGCGTTTTTTGTGAGGTCAAACAGGTGAGAGGGAGAGACCCGTCTTTTTCTCCCTTGGAAGGGGTGGAGCCTACACAAATGAACTGGGGAAACAAGCCAATTGGTGCACAACAACAACAAATTGACAGCTATAATAACCAATGAAATTTAACTCTACATATACAAGGTAGACAGGCGTAATATGACAGTTTAAATCCTGCAACAAACAGTTCTACGGTCAGGTGGCACCACACGCGCCGTCACAAAAGGAAAGTGTTTTCTCCAGCCAAACCACGCTGGCTCCCCATCAGCCCTTGACTGGGGGCAGACCCAGAATGAACATAAAGTGCAAGGGGGGCAGACCCAGAATGAGTAAGACCACCAGCCCGGCCTCACCTGACTCAACCGCCAAGCGTACCCAACGTGTTTGGCCAAAGTCTGCCCGCACGAAGCAGGTGGACACAGACATGCAGAAGAATCACACAATGCCTCTAGAACATGGCTCTATAGCCCGAAAAAACCCACAAGAACCTAGTGATTCCAGCCATGAAATCCTTCGACAATACAACCCCGTGAGAGCCCCCACTGCATGCCTACCAGCCCCCTCCCAGTGGGCTCAAATCAAGGGAAACCTTCAGGAGAACCCCCACGCCCACGCCCCCGCCCCCCCCCCCATGTTCCTCCAGCAACAGCAACCCCCCCCCCTCTGGGCAGCAAACCAGGCCATCCCAATTGGATGCCCCCCCCCCCGCCCACGAGGGAGGGTCTTCCTCCAGGCAAACCAGGAACAGGCAATGTGGGAGTCCCCAAACAGACTCAAGATGAGTGGGCAGATCAAGAGGCAACCTGGCCAAAGGGCACAACCGAGAAGAGGAAGAACCCTCCACCTGGTGCGACTGTGGAGCAGAACACACAACTGCACACCTGTGCGCTTGCCCGCCACGCCCTGCCTCACGCACGGAGGAGGAACGGCTCCAAGCTGCAGACAAGGCGGTCACTGCTGCTGCTGCTGCTGCCCGGTCTTGGTCTAAAATGACGCCGCTGCTTGTGCTCCCTTCACTGAATTAGACCCATTTATGGGTGCCACGCTTTTGACACAAAACAAGTAAAGACCGGAGTTCCCTTAGAGACATGGCGCAACCCTAACTTCAGGGTCTCCTCATCCTTGTGCTTAATCACTGGAACAGGGAGTCGGCACTGACGATACTTGAACTGACCCAGCCGTTGACCTTCAGAAGGGGGGAGAATAGTGTAACCCCCCCCCCCGCCCCCAATGCCGGGGGATACGCACCCTCCAAGGGAGACCACCAGCTTCACTTTCACCCGGTACGAGACCAGGATGCCCAGGACCTCCTTGCTGGCGCCTTCCTTCACGCTGCAAAACAAGGAGGAGGAGGAGGAGGAGGAGGAGGGAGGGGGGGGCAGGCGGGGTCTCGGGGGGGATCCCCCACCCTTTGAATGCACCCTCCTTTCTGTGTCCCCCTCCCTCCCTCTTTCCCCCCTTAAAGGTCCCGCATGGTCAGTTCACAAAGCGCTCCAATGACCAGCAGGACGTGAAGCAAGGGCATGTTTGCCCCGGAGGGGGGGTCTGCTTGGCCTTTGGGTCCCCCTCCCCCCTCTGAAGGCACTTCCACTGCTCTGAGGGTCTAAGCAGCCGGGCCGGGGGAAAGCCTTGGCCCCAGAGGGGGCCGGTCTGGATGGCCCCTGGGGCCCCCTCCCTCCCTCCCGACTGGGCCCGGGGGGGGGGGGGGGGGCTCACATGGTGGAGGAGGCCAGGTTGGTGTCCTCGTGCTTGAGCTTCCCGTCCAGGGCCAGGCCGCGCTTCTCCCGGTTGTTGCTCAGGAGCGGCGTCAGCGTGTAGACCTTGCAGAAGGTGGAACTGGCCGCCACTTGGTCGCTGAGGAGGGAGGAGAACGGGGCGCGTGAGCAGGGAGGGGGGGAGGGGGGAGGGGGGAGGGGGGGGGGGGAGGGAGGGCCCCCACCTGGACTCCCCAAGGCAGAGGCAGGCACCTTCCCTGCAGCAATCCAGGCTGGCCTTTCCCCAAGCCTTGCCACAGCCGCGCCTGCAGGATTCCTCCCCGTTTCCTCCCACAAGCCATGCTGCGCTCTGCTAGAGATCCCAAATATCCTCCCTCCAGGAGGAAGGGGCTGGTGGGAAGGGGCACGCCTGTTGTGGTTCCCAATGTGGGACTAGATTCTGCGCTATGTCGTGTCGAAGGCTTTCATGGCTGGAATCACTGGGTTGTTGTAGGTTTTTCCGGGCTATATGGCCATGTGACCTCACTCCCTCTGAGGATGCCTGCCATAGATGCAGGCGAAACGTCAGGAGAAAACGCCTCTAGAACATGGCCATAGAGCCCAGGAAAACCTACAAAACCCAGATTCTGTTCTGTCTGTGCCTTGTCTATACAAAGCGGGACTGAATGTTGGCCGTGAATGTGTGATCTGCCCCTTCGGGTTCCCTTCGGGGTGAGAAGGGCGGAATATAAATCAAGTGTTTCTATTACTATTATTATGGATGCCCCTTGGAGAGCCCCTCCTGTTCTACGGCTCTATCACTTTCCATTGTATTATTGTTGGTGTTATTTTATTATAAATATTTAATATAACAACAACTGTAGGCGGTGCTTTTATGTCAAGCTGCTTCGAGTCCCCCCCGAAGGGATAAAGAAGAGTGTAAACAAATATAATACTACTCATAATAACAACGATAGGATGCTATATCTATTATTATGAAGCAGAGGCCGGATGGCCATCTTTCAGGAGGGATTGGGTTATGCTCTTAGAATCATAGAATCCTACAGTTGGAAGCTGCCAAGAAGCAGGAATATTGCATTCAAATCACCCCTGACAGATGGCCATCCAGCCCCTGTTTCAAAGCTTCCAAGGAAGGAGCCTCCACCACACTCCCGGGGCAGAGAGTTCCACTGCTGAACGGCTCTCACAGTCAGGAAGTTCTTCCTCATGTTCAGATGGAATCTCCTTTCTTGTAGTTTGAAGCCATTCCTCCATTGCATCCTAGTCTCCAGGGAAGCAGAAAACAAGCTTGCTCCCTCCTCTTCCCTGTGGCTTCCTCTCACTATAAATATGTGAGAGGAAGCCACAGGGAGGAGGAGGGAGCAAGCTTCCTTTCTGCTTCCCTGGAGAGAGACTAGGACGCAATGGAACCATGGCTTCAAACTACAAGAGAGGAGATTCCATCTGAACACGAGGAAGAACTTCCTGCCAGAAGAAGGGGGCTGGGCTGGATGGCCTTCAGAGGTCCCTCCCAACTCTAGAGGTCAGCCTAGGATTCCATGCGCTACTTCTCCTCCATGAACCTGCCAATGCCTATGGGGCTGGATGGCCACCTGTCAGGAGGGCTCAGATTGTGCTTTCCCTGCATGAAGGCAGAGGGGGTTTGGCTGGCCTCTAGGGCCCCCCTCCCACCCCGACCATGTTGAGCTCGCAAAGCCCACTCACTCCTGCTCGATCTGGGCCACGGGGCACATGTACTGCGCGGTGCTGAAGAGGCAGATGTCTGCGTATTGCCGCACTGCAGGGTCAGAAGAGAAGGAAATGAGGGAGAGGTCAGTGGCCGCGGAAGGAGACCCCCCCCCCGGGCCCCTCCCCAAACACAAACACCGGCCAAAGAATACTTGGGATTGACCACAAAACAATCGTACCAATAAGAATACATTAATCATAATAAACTCACAACCACCACCCCCACCCCACCTTGTGTGTGGCTGTGCCCCCCCCCCCCCGCCTACCTGACACTTTGACCTTTTTGACACTTTTGCTGGAATTGTTGGTGACGTGGACGTTGACGCTGACCGGCTCTCCGTGGTAATAGAGCTGCAAAGGGGTGCAAGAGAGAGAGAGAGAGGGGAGAGGTCAGGGGTCTTGCAGGAAAGGGACACTCCACCCCACCCCCACTGAGGGACCCCCATCGTCGGCAGGCACCTCCTTGTCGAGGGAGGCCTCCAGGTGAAGTGACCGGTCGGACATCAGGAAGTGGCGCGTGGTCTCGGCCATGGGCTGCGGGCCGGGCTTCTCCGGGGCGTACTGGACCTTGCGGATGACCAGGCGGACGGAGTTCCTGAGCATGAACAGAGTGCAAAGAGGAGAAATGAGGAAAGAGAGGAGGAGGCAAACTGGGTGCGCGTCCACACGGCAGAGTTAGCGCCGTTTGAGACCACTTCCGCTATGGAATCCTGGGAGTTGGGAGTTTGAGGAGGCACTGGACGCCCCCCCCCCACCCCCAACTCCCAGGATTCCATAGCATGGAGCCGTGGGCAGCGGAAGTGGACTCAAACTGGGTTAATTCCCCAGTGTAGATGCACTCAGCTTCTTTGCTGGGAGGATAAACACTGATCATGGCGATCCCGTTACGACCTCAGGCCTTAATGTTGATCTTGGTTAAACGTTAACGGATGATGCGCCAGAGAGAGAGAGAGAGAGAGAGAGAGAGAGAGAGAGAGATGGTGCCAGGAGCCAGGCAGCACCAGCGCCCCTCCCTCCCTCCCTCCCGACAGATGGCCCTCCAGCCTCTTAATCGTAGAATCCGAGCACCAGAGACTCCAAAGGTCATCCGGTCCACCCCCTTCGGCCACAAAGGGAGGCACCATCGAAACCCTCCCAACAGATGGCATCCAGCTTCACAATCATAGACTAACAGGGGTGGGAGGGACTCCCAAAGGCCATCCAGTCCACCCCCTTCTGCCATCAAGGGAGGCACACCATTCAATCACTCCCGACTGATGGCCATGCAGTCTTTGCTTAGAAACCTCCCAAAAAGAAAGGGGACTTCACTGGGCTCTCAGGCAACCCATATTCTACCCGTCTTAAGGGGGCCCCTGGAGGTAATCTAGTCCAGCCCCTTTCTGCCAGGAAGACAGGCACCATGTGATCCCTCCCGACAGATAGCCATCCATCCTCTGTTTAATGGCCTCCAGGGAAGGAGATAGAATAGATAGAGCAGATAGACTCCCAAAGGCCACCCAGCCTAACCCCCTTCTGCCATAAAGGGAGACACCATCAAAACCTTCCCAACAGATGGACATCCAGCCTCTGTTTAATGACCCCTTAAAGGGAAGGAGATAGATAGATACTATAGATAAATTCCAAGAGAGGGAAGGGTCCCCCCAAAGGCCATCCAGTCCACCCCCTCCTTCTTGTAGACAGGAAAGCACTGCCCGATCCCTCCCGGCAGATGTCCATCCGTCTGGACTCTGTGGAGAAACCTCCAAGAGGGGGGAGAGGGCTCTGCCGGACACATTACCTTTTATGAATCTTCTCATCGAGGTTTTTGGCACAAAACGCCCGGATCTCAAAATCGACCCCGCAGGCCTTTCCGGTGTCTTCCGGGCCCGGCTGCAGCGTCACCGAACACGGCAGGTTCTGCGGGATCTGTGGGAGGAGGAGGAGCACCATGGGGAGGCGGCACCCTCGAATCCCTCCCCACAGAGGGCCATCCAGACATAGACAACCTAGCTGTAACGGGGAGCCCTCTCCTTCCATTTTGCCTTCTGGCGGAAGGTTGAGGATGCCTTGGCTCCTCTTGAATGGTCACTTGAATGCCCCTCAAGGGAGATTGGGAACCCATTTGGGGTTAATTTCAATACTCTGCGCTATATTGTATGTCTTAGTGCTCTTGCAGACCGCCTTGAGTCCGTTGGAGGAAGGCGATACGGAAATTTCCCAAGCGTCTCTCACTGAAGCCTAGAGGTGGAAGGGGCCCCCAAAGGCGATCCAGTCCAACCCCTTCCGGCTGGGCAAGAAGAACACGATCCAATCCCTCCCGACGGATGGCCATCCATTGCGACATTTCCCTCTTCCACAATGCCCAAGCCCCCCCCTCTTGATCAGAGAAAAAAGAGGGGCATTAAACCACCACCACCACCACCACCACCACCACCACCACAACAACGACAAGAGCCAGCGTAGTGGTTTTGTGCTCACGATGAATCCGAAGGGGTGTGCGTTGGAGCCGAGCTTGCGGAGGAGCCTCTCCTGGAGGCGGGAGAGGGGCTCCTTGGGGGTCTCCTGGGCCGGAGGGAAGGCCTGCCAGGACGCCAGGAAGAGGTCCTTCCGGAAGGACAGGCCCAGCACGTCCAGGTCCTCGCGCCCGTACCGGAAGGCGCAGGTCAGCGTCACAAACACTGCGGGGAGAGCGGAAGGCAGGGGCGCCCGTCAGAAGCCAGGCGGCACAAGGGGGGGGGGGCTGCCTGGCCAAGGGCTCCAGCAGCATCTTCTCCTGACGTGTCGCCTGCATCCATGGCTAGTGGCATCCTCAGAGGCTTGTTCAGGTGCCTGATGGAAATGAGGCAAGTGGAGCGCATACCTATCTGTGGAATAATGTCCATGGTGAGCGAAAGAACGCTTGTCAGTTCAAAGCAAGGGTTCTGGCCCAGCTGACTTGTCCGAATGTCCCACCTTGTAATCTAGGATCACCTGGGGAGGCCCCGCTCTCGCTCCCGTCAACAGCACAGATGCGTCTGGTGGGGAGGAGAGACAGGGCCTTCTTGGCTGTGGCCCCCCGCCTATGGAACACACGCCCAAATGAGGTAAGATCCACTCCCTCCCTCCCTCCTGGCCTTTAGAAAAAAATTAAAATCGTGGTTGTGGGACCAGGCCTTCGGACAGCAGATGTATGCAGCATTTCAGAGGGACACTGGCTGGAACGGCGCTTTGACTGACGAGGCTTGTTTTAATGCTTGTTGATGTATTGTTTTAATTACGATTTGTTTAATTTGATTTTACTATTGTCATTGTTTGTATTGGCATTGTATCGGTGTCCAACATAAGGCATGGAATTTTGCCATTGTTTATGTGTAAACCGCTTTGAGTCCCCCCAGGGGTGAGAAAGGCGGCATATAAATACTGTAAATAAAATAAAATAAATAAATGTTGCAATTGGCAGGCTTGAACAGCAGGGAGTAGCCTTGCAGCTGCAAAGCCTGGCTGTTGTTTGCCTAGAGGTGGTGTCCTGTTTGGGAGGCGTCCACCGGCCCTTGACCGCTTGCTGCCTGTTCCTGAGGGAAGTTCTCTATTTGCAGCCTTGACTCTGGTGTTGCAAACAGAGGCGGCAGCCAGGTGGGGTTCGTTTTCATGGCTTCCTCCTTCCTGCTGAAATGATCCACGTGCTCCTTGTGGATTTCAGTGGCTTCTCTGTGTTGCCCAGGGGTTCCCACCCTTTGGCCTCCAGGAGTTTTGGGCTTCAACTCCCAGAAATTCCATCCAGCTTGTGGGAGCCGAAGCCCAAAACACCCGGAGGCCCAAAGGCTGGGAACCACTGGTGCCGCCTGGCTTGGTGGTCGCCCGAGGAGTCCGGCACTTCTGTGTTCTGCAGCAATAATAATAATATGCTGCGCCCAGGCGGGTTCCTCGGGGGCTCTGCGATGGCTGGCTTCTTGGGCTGGATCAGCCTGCAGGGCTTCTTCTCGTGCTCTTTGATGCGTGCCTGGCAATGCTGCTGCGTGGAGGGCCCCCCCGGAGACTTCGTGTCCACAGCTGCAGGATGAGATGCAAGAGACGCCTGCAGAGGAGGCGGGGATCCCTCTTTGCAACCGCAAGGCTCCTCTCAGCTCCTCCAGCATGCTAACGGCAACACTGACCCTTGCTTCGCACAGGCAAGAGTCCTTCCTCCCACCCTGGACCGCATTCCTCAGGTCTAAACACACTCCACTTGCCTCACTGCCAACACCACCTCTGAAGACGCCGTTAGCCACAGATGCAGGGGGAACATCAGGAGAGAATGCTTCTGGAACATGGCCAGACAGCACGAAGTACTCACATCCTCCATGTAGTTTATGACGAACTCTCTATGATTCTGCAAGGTCAATGTAACTGGAAGGGCTCAAGTAAGTACTTATTTCAAATCTGAAAAGTGCACTATTATCATTATTATATTTGTTTACACTCCGCTTTCTCTCTCCCGAAGGAGACTCAAAGCGGGTTGACATAAATGCATTAGCGTACAATTTTAAATATGCAAAGAGCACGGCAGGGAAGCCCTCCTCCTCCTCCTCCTCCTCCTCCCCCTCCTCCTCAACAGGGGAGCCCCCTTCTCGCTCTCTGATTGGCCGGGAGGCGGGTCCTTGTCAACCCACTTCCTGCATTCTCTGCCAACTTCTGCCCAGAAATTGCATTAATTGGAGACTTGAGAAGAGTAAAAAATTAACTCGCATCAACTTCTGGTTTTCTTTTGGCCAAAGCGGAATGAGAGAGAGAGGGGCGGCGGGGGGGGGGGGGGGGGGGGGGGGGGGGGGGGGGGGGGGGGGGGCTGGCAGAATGGCTGCCTTGGCCTCGGACCTGGTGAGGGACAGAATCCTAGAGTTGGGAGGGATCCCCAAAGGCCATCTAGTCCACCCCCTTCTGCCTTCAGGCAGGAAAACCACCATCCAAGCACTCCCAACAGATGTCACATCCAGCCTCCAAAGAAGGAGCTTGCCCCACACTCTGAGCAAGAGAGCAAAACAAACACGCCACCAATATGCGTACACTTCAGAAATGTCCCTGTTCAGACTTACATACAAATTCAACTTAAGAACAAACCTACAGAACCTCTCTTGTTCATAACTTGCCTTTACTGTATTTCTTCGTTTCTAAGGCACCCGCGACTGTAATCTGCCCACTGGCTTCAGTCCCACCGATAGGAAAACAAAACCTTCTGTATATATATATGCATATGGGGTATGGTATGGAAATATAATGCAATTCATATGCACTGATTCAAAGACACGCGTCCCTTTCAGGGGTGTCTGTACACAAGAGCTTGCCTGAGGGCTGAAGGAAGAGGGTCAAGCCAGGGAGAGGCCAGTGTTTTCCACCCTCTCTCTCTCTCTCTCTTTGAAAGGCAGTTCAGAGGTCACCTGAGACCCTGAACTACACCGAAGCAACCCCCCCCCCTTTGACCCTGAGGGGCTTTACTCCAAAGGAAGCCCATTTAAGCAGAGCGCAGCGTCCTGTCCGGACTTCCTCATTGAGGCTCCTCTTCCTCTCCTCCTTCCCCTTGGAGTCCACCCAAGTCCCCGGCCTACCTCTTCCCTCCTCCTCCCTCTCTCTCTCCCTTTCTCTCTCTCTCTCTCTTCCCCAATTAGCCACGCTCTGCTTCCAGGGGCAACTCACCCCTCCGCTCTCTCTGAAGCAACAACAACAACAAACAATGCGCCGGCTTTCTTCTTCTTCTCCTTTTTTCCCTGCTGCTGCTGCTGCGCATTTCATGCTCCCGCTCTTTGTCTCCTTTGAAGCGCTCCCTGCCTGCCCCACATTTCAAGGAACTTGCGAGGGAAGAGGGGGGGGAGGGAGGGGGGCTCTCCCCTCATCCATTTGCAAACTCAAAGAGAGCGCCATCTGAATGGCAGAGGCCTGAAGGGAGAGGAAGGGGCTGAAAGGGCCTTCCTCCTGCTGGGCAGAAATGAGGAAAAGGGGCCCCCCACCCACTGCCTTGACTTACCCTTCCGGTCCTTAAGGTACTCCGGATCCACAAGGACAACGCCATCTAACGGGGAGAGAAATGGGGAAATGAGGCCAACTTCTATTATTACATGAGGCAAAACAGATGCTAGGGAGGGAGGAAGCAAGGACCCCCCCCCCGCCCCCCAAGCTATAGGCAGAGCCATAGGACCCTCTCTCCCTTGTCCTTATACAGGGAAAATGGCACTCCCCTCTAAATGTCACGCGCTATTATTATTTATGTTTATGGGAAGGAGAGTCCTCTTTGCACAAACCGACACACTTGTTGTTGTTGTTGTTATGCTTATGTTTAAGGGAAGGGGAGTCGTCTTTGCACAAACCGACACACTCCCTCAAGTGTCAGATATTGTTGTTGTTGTTGTTGTTGTTGTTGTTGTTATGTTTATGGGAAGGGGAGTCCTCTTTGCACAAACCGACACACTCCCCCAAGTGTCAGATGTTGTTGTTGTTATGTTTATGGGAAGGGGAGTCCTCTTTGCACAAACCAACACACTCCCCCAAGTGTCAGATATTGTTGTTGTTGTTGTTGTTGTTGTTATGTTTATGGGAAGGGGAGTCCTCTTTGCACCAACTGATATACTCCTCTAAATGTCACATATTATTATTATTATTATTATTATTATTATTATTATTATTATTATTATGTTTATGGGGAGCCCCCGGTGGGTTAAACCGCTGAGCTGCTGAACTTCCTGACTGAAAGGTTGATGGTACGAATCCAGGGAGCAGGGTGAGCTCCTGCTGTTAGCCCCAGCTTGTGCCAACCTAGCAGTTCAAAAATATGCAAATGTGAGTAGATCAATAGGCTGTTAGGAATTGTTGGAGTTGAAGTCCAAAACACCTGGAGGAGGGCCGAAGTTGGCACAGGCTGGATGGACACACACACACACAAACACACATATATGCACACAACTCACCCACAGGATCCACTCGGTCCAGGTGATCCACAAAGTCCCGTTTGCCCAGGTAGACTGTGAGCTGCAATGGGGGAGAAGGGAGAGAGAGGCAGCAGCTGAGAACGTGGACAGGGAACCCCTTCCCCAAACTCAAGAAACCTCTCATCCTGCCCCATTTCCATAGGACCCCAACCCTTTTCCCAGCCCAAATATCTTCAATTGGGGGAAGGGTGCCTCACTTCCTCTGCCCTGACCCAGACAAGGGTGTTTCATAGGAAATAACACCAGCTGATGCTGAGGAGGGAGGGGTCGAGGGAGGGGGCGTCACCAGGGAGACTCCGGAGTGGGTCAGAGTCAACAAGGGCTCTCCTGGCTCCCCGGAAGGCGCACCTGGGGACACCTGCGCTTGCATCAATACCAAGGGAGCTGCATCCCGTGCTTCCCTGGCACAAACAGCAGTGCTCCAGTGCAAAACACAAGCATAGAGACGCCCAAATGCAACCTCAGTCATGCCATGTGTTGCACACACACACCCTCAACAACTGCTGTGCATTTGCTCTGGCCTTTGCACAATCAGGGTGGCTTCCCTCAAACAAAACAGGAGAAAGCACTTGATCCCTGTCACGACTGCCGTGCATTTGCTCTGGCCTTTGCACAAGCAGGGCGGCTTCCTTTGCACAAATAGCAGTGCTCCGGTGGAAAACACGAGCATGGAGACACCCATATGCAACTTCAGTTGTGCCACGTGTTGAACGCCCACTTCCTCTGCATTTGGCTGCTGCACCCTGCGCACAAGCACTTGGTCCCTGCCACGAATACAGTGAATTTGCTCTGGCCTTTGCACAAGCAGGGCGGCTTCCCTCACACCAAACAGCAGCACTTTGATGGAAAACAAAAGCATGGAGACACCCATATGCAACTTCAGTTGTGCCACGAGTTGCACACACGCACACTCCAGGAGTGCTGTGCAATTGCTCTGGCCTTTTCACTAGCAGGGAGGGCAGCTCCCTTTGCACCAAAGAGTAGAAACACAAATGGCCCAATGTCAGAAACGGAGGTACAGAAATGCAACTTCGGTTTGTGCCACGTGTTGCGTGACCCAGAGAGCGGTGAAACATCCCAAAGCGCAATGTGCACCAGGTTTCTCTTCACTAGACTGTGTGTGTGTAGGGGGGGGGGGGGAATCCCCGAGGCAATCTCTCTCTCTCTCTCTCTTATTATCTCCTTCTGGATCCTGCTTCGCAAGAGGAAGTTCCGTGGGTGTCTTGTGCAACGGCGGCGGAGTCCTGGTGTATGCGTGTGTGGGTGTACATGAGAGCAGGAAGCACTGCTGCTGAGTGTGCGAGGATCGAGGCACCCCCCCCCCCGCCTTCTCCTTCTCCAAAAGGCTGGGCAGGAGGAAGGAAGCGGGTGGAGAGGAAGAGGGACAGGAAACCCGCAGCAGCAGCAGCAACTGCAACAGCAAAGGGAGGCCCTCGCACTCGTATTCTTCACACGAGGAGGGCGGGGAAGGCAATCATGCAGCGGCTGCAAGCGCACGCAAAGGCCAGAGCATTGTAGCTGCGGGGGGGGGGGGGGGGGGGGGGGGGGCATTTAAAAAAGGGGGGAGGGTGATGGCAGGAACTCACTTTGCAGTTGGGGCTGGACTTCTTGAAGACCCTGCAGGGAGAGAAAGAGGAAGAGTGAGGACGAGGAAGAAGAGAGGGAGCCTTGGAAAGAGGAAGGAACATTCGGGGGAAATACTTCCCCACTTCCCCCTTCCCAAATGCAAGGCCCCTTCCCCAAAATGTCTGGCTTTGGGGGCACACTCGACACCAACAGCAAAAATACAATTGCATGCTTCATGTTTGTATGTTTTAGATGGTATGCCGGTGATTGTAGGTGAAGGCGCTTTGAGTCTCCTGCAGGAGAGGCCAAGCCGCCGGGTATAAATAAATACTATGTAAATGCGTGTGTGTGTGTGTATGTTTATGTGTGTAATAAATAATAGTAATTTACATTGTATGGCAATTTGAGTCTTTGAGTCTCCTGCCGGGTATAAATAAATATCGTGTGTGTCTTGTCGAAGGCTTTCATGG